ATCCAATGGCATGCGGGAAAGGAAGGCAGCCAACCAGAGAAGGACATGGATGAGATGCAGTATATAATGAGCGGCGTAGCTAACGTGTGGGACTCGGATGGAAGGCGCCTGACGCGTGGCTCTGGCTTCTGATTGGTCAATAAAGCCTGTTTTGTTGTACCGGTCTTTTGCCTATTAGGGCTCGGGTATTCTACAGTGGCGTCGGATCAGGGCGCAGACATATTGGACCACCGGGCCTCAGCCAATCCTGTGTTCCTCTGTGTTCCAATGGCATGCGAGGAATATAAGCAGCCAACTAGAGAAGGACCCGACTGAGAAGCAGTATATAATGGGCGGCGTGGCCAGCGTGGTGGACTCGGATGGAAGGAGCCTGACGTGTGGCTCTGGATTCTGATTGGTCGATATAGCATGTTCTGTTGTACCGGTCATTTACTTATTAGGGCTCAGGTATTCTACAATGTGGTGTGGAGTCGGATTAGGGAAAGAGCATGTTGGACCACCTGGCCTCAGCCAATCCCGTGTCTCTCTGCGATCCAATGGCATGCAGGAAAAGAAGGCAGACTCCCAGAGAAGGACATGGATGCGATGTAGTAAATATTGAGCGGCGTGGCCAGTGTGGTGGACACGGATGGAAGGGGCCTGACGCGTGGCTCTAGCTTCTGATTGGTCAATAAAGCCTGTTTTGTTGTACCGGTCTTTCACCTATTAGGGCTCGTGTATTCTACAGTGGCGTCGGATCAGGGCGCAGACATATTGGACCACCGGGCCGCAGTCAATCCTGTGTCCCTCTGCTTTCCAATGGCGTGCGAGGAAGATAAGCAGCCAACCAGAGAAGGACACGACTGAGGTGTAGTTTGCAATGAGCGACGTGGCTAGCGTGGTGGACTCGGATGGAAGGCGCCTGACGTGGGGCTCTGGCTTGTGATTGATCAATAAAGCCTGTTCTGTTGTACCAGTCTTTTTCCTATCAGGGCTCGGGTATCCTACAGTGGTGTCGGATCAGGTCGCAGACATATTGGACCTAGCTGACCTAAGCCAATGCAATGCCAATTTTCAACCACATTTACGTTCAGAATGTCACTAAATTGAATGATTTTGAGAGACGCAACAGAGACAGGATAATCTTGCAGTAAAGAGAATTTTGGCAATTTAGTGCTATTTTTGTCAAATTCAAGGACGTGGTTAGAGAAATAAAGAATAAAGGATTGCAGACCACATTTCAAATAATCAAACAATTTGACATTTTTCCTAATATGCTTAGAAATTTAATATATATTTTCGATCTACTCTATACACACATTAGGAATCACAGAAACTGACAAAAGAAACGGAAATCACATATGACATCTACCATTTTAAAATTTTTAAGTTTTTTTTATTTTTTTTCTATCTATAAATTTTTTAATCTCACTAAAACGCTGCAAATTAAATTACATGACAATTTTTGTTTAATTACGTGTCAAGGCTGTTGAAAGTTTGGTCTTATTTTAAAGTTGAATTTTATGCATGCAAATGTTTTTTCTCACTAGCTGGTTCATGGATCTGTATGAATTAATCTTGAATAATTTTTTATATATAACGGCGTGTAGCTGTAGAAAAACTGATTTTAAATTTCTTAAGTGAAACAACTGGCAGAGCTAAATCAATTTTATTAAACGTGCTTCTAAGCATATTGTATGTACATTGTAATGCTTTCGTTCTTTTAGAAGACGGTTTTTTTATGTGTTAATTACCACAATCCAGTTTTCGAAATTTGGTCAGCTAATTGTTTGTTCTCTAACCTTCACAATGAAAATTTTTTGCCTTGGTCGAAATGGCTGTTTTGGATTGACGTTAATAATATCTTGAATTTAGCAGTTATCACTTTAACGCATTGATGAAACCTTTATTAAACATTATTGTTAGTAGCTTTGGGACAATATTAAGAAACACTAAAACAAATAGCATCTTTTGGAATCGATCAGATTTGAAGATGATGAGTCAGTTCTTTTCAGACTTTGAATGCTAATTTTGCAACGTGAATTTGGCACATGTTGTGAAGTGTGCTTGATAAGTATCTAAAAGGGTCATCACTTTGTCTGAATCGTTTTGAATCCAACGTTATGCATTTCATTTTGGCAGAAAGATAATGATCTCGTAGAGTAATATTGTGGGACCAATTAACACCGACGTAAGTAGAGTCGTGAAGAACGAGAAACAAAGTGTTAAGATCTCCGGTTGCTAAAACTGGTCAGATTGGTATTTCATTTTACAGTTACTGAGTCCCGTCACTAGAACACTTGTTTTCTGCATCTTAGAATAATATTTATTATTTCAGAAAAGTCAGCTAATGGAGGAAGGACAGTTTTTAATTGCTAAAGTCGATGAAAAGCCTGGGAGCTTAATTATCGAACCGTCCTTAGACGAAACCGATATCTACGTGGGCGATTTAGCATCTGACGCAATTCGCAGTTTGGAGGAATTACTTTCACGCGGAGAAATAAGACCTATCGAGGCTACTGATCTGAAATTTAAGTGCCAAAACCTCGTTGGTCTAATTAAAAAGTATGTCTCCCTCCCTTTACCTTTTTGTCTGTTTTCATTGAAATCCCTGAGGTCGTTTTTTGTTATTCTTTCGAAAAAAACTATAAACTTTCAGAATCCACCTTAATACTCTGAGACTGGAAGACTATTCAGCAGAACTCACAAAAGAAGGCAGCCGAATTAACAGTGCGCTGCGACGACGCGAAGAGTTTCCCGATGGTTTCGATTCTGAAGCCGACAATCTACATAAGCAAATTCTTCGAGCGGAAAACCAGGTGCGTGAGATGGACCACACCATGGACACCCTGAACTACAACGTTGCAGCGTTGGAGGAGGAGAAGAAGGATCTGGCGAAGGAGGCTGCCAAATTTCCTGACAAAGAGGTTTGTCCCAAGTGGATTTGGCAATCGTACTTTTCTTTTATAGAGTCTGAAGATGCAAAGGAAGGATCTTGAACGCGAGATCGACACCTTGGTAGTGGAGCGTCAAAAGCTAAGTCTAGAGTCGCGTCGCCTGCAGCGTCAGTTTCATGATGTTGTTGAAGGCAAAGAGAATTTAACCAATCAGCTGAGTGAGGCTAATGAGTCGATCTCAGAGCTAACCGTAAGCACGTTTTTCGTGTAATATCCGCTACTTCTAGGAGGAGCTGGAAGGCCTTCAAGCGAAAGTTCCCAAAATTACGCAAGAAAATGTGGAGTTGGAGGAACAGTTGATGTAAGTATCATTTATCGTAATCACATTTGAAATCTTTCATTATTCACCGTGTTGGAATTAGATGGCGAATTATATACTAGCTACTTAATGCAATAATAGTAGTGAAATTGTTTTATTTTAGTAAACAGCAACAAGCCCTCAGTCAGGCAGAAAAGGACATTAAGCGACTCTCAGACACTCGCACCGAGCTAACGCAAACTCTTGCGGAAGTGGATGAAGAGTGCAAAGTCTTGTTAAGGTGTGTTTTTAGACGCTCAAAAGAAGGCATAGCAGTACGCTAACTTGGCGGTTGTCTGAATTTTAGCCAAAAAACGAGTTGTCAGGCCAACCTGACCGACGCCAAGGAGCGTCTGGCGTCGGTGAAGCAGACACTGCGTCGACTGCGGGCTGACGAGATGCAGCTTCGTGAGTCAAGGTGAGTCAGGCGTCACGTGTTGACATCATTTTAGTGAAAAGATGGAAGTGGACATGGAACACCTGGAGTTGGAAAAACGTGCCACTCTCGAATCGACCAATCAGGTGCTGAGCAGTGGCAGCAAAATGCGCAAGCTCATTCGCCAGGCCACAAAGAAGATTAAGAGCCTTGAGGATTCGCTGAAGTACTTGCAGGAGGCGAAGAAGACTCGTGATGAGGAGATGGACTTGGCGAAGAAGATGAAGGCTAAGATGGACCCCAAGGAACGAGAGAAGCTCACTTCGCAGATTGCGAAATTGACCAAACGACTGCTGGCTCACGTACGCTAAGTTGGTTTTTTGTGTAAGAGTGATTTGTGCGTCTCTAGGAAAATCTCAATGAACACGAGAGAGAAGCGATTCGTGCGGCGATGAAGGAGGAGGAGACGATGCTGGCTGAGATCGATTCCCTGAAGGTAGAGTTGTCCAAGCTGCAAAGCACTGTGACCGCGAAGTCCTACGAAGTGGCTCAGAAGCGGCGCTATCGGTGCAAGGCCGAACAGCATCACATTCAAGTTAACAGAGACCTCAAACTCCAGGAATTCCAACTGAACGACAACCGTAAGACTCTCCGCTTGCACCAGGTACGCAATGCAATATTTTACTGTCTACTAACAACTATTGAGTAGAACGTGTAAAAATGAAAATATTTTAATTATTTTACTCTATAGGTTCAGTTGAACAACCTTGGGAAACTTTACAAAGCTGTCAACGTAGAGCGGAATGAGTGCTTAATGCTCATCAATTTGGCACAACAACGCAAACTCGAGGTGGAGGAGAAATGTCGCCTTTTCACAAACGAAATGAACATCCTCAAATCGGGGATTCAGAACAAGCAGTACCAGCTAGACGAATTGGAAAGCCGTTTGGCCAGTATGCGAGAGGAAAGGATCGTTCTGCAAACGGAAATTTCCAAGGAGGTGTGCGTAATGGCCTTTTTAAATTTTCCACAAATCGAGGGACGCTGATGACTTATTAGTAGTAAAGTGTGATTTTATTCAATTCTGCCATTTGTTGGATAACGCCTTGGTATAGTTCAGGCTCACTGAAATTCGACAAAATAATTATCGGCCTTACCGATTGGCTAGCCCAAGGTCATTCGTTTATTGACCCGCCTTGCCTCCATTGAAGGTGTCTGCAAATCGAGAGCTTGAGGCTCACAAAAGCTGGATGAACACCAGCGTTGAACACTTGAAGAGAACGATAAAGAGTGATCAGACGCAGATGGCGCGACTGCAAAAGGACTACAAGACAGCCGTTCACGAAAAGGACTCCTTCCAACGACGTCTAGACGACTGCCATGGGGAAGTTCAATGCGCCAAAGTAGGTTCCAATTTTGCAATATTAAAGCTACTCGAAGCGCAAATAAGTAGTCAGTTTGTTTTTCGGTTAAAGGAAACCTTGTGTAAGCTTGAAATCGAAGCCAACAAGAAGGCGGATAAATTGGCATCGGAAACTCGAGAACTTTCCTTGGCCATTAACACCAAGAGGGATGAAATTCGATCGATTGAGGTTCAAAGGAGAAGAAATACCGAGAAGTTGGAGCTTGAGGATGAATTGTCGCTGCTTCACAAGGAGGTAAAAAAATGCACTTAAGGCTTACCATTTAGTCACATCAAGTTGCTCTGTTTTACAAAATACGTTACTATTTACAATAAAGTAGACAATTTATTTCATTGCAAGGTGCTCGATGTAGGGGATAAGTTGTCCCAGGAGGAACGCCTACTTGATAACCCGGCTGCTCAAACCTGGGATTTTGGCAGACTAAAGTGGTCTCGCCTCCGTTTACTGGAGGGTCCCGAGGTCAGCCAAGAGTTTCTGCTCTCGAAAGAGAAGGAAATCACCTTGAAAATCGATAAGAAGGAGGCAGAGCTCCGTGAACTGGACATGATTTTGTCGGCAGTGGGGGCGCTTGTTGATAAACTCAACGCTAAGACAAAGGCAGAAAGGTGGGCTATTCCATGTGACTCCACGGCCTCAAATTAGTGACTATCGATTTATCAATAAACAATGCTTGATTTGAGCTAAAAACACTACTGTACCCTAAACGGAGAAAATAAATCGATATTGTGTTTCCTCAAGTGAACCAAGTCTTCAATTGGCCAAGCTGAGCAACGCGAACCGTCGTGAAATTTTGCTAAAGGAGCGTCAAATGAAGGCTCTCTGCGCGGAATTACGAATGAAGGCGTTTCAGGAGGCAGAAATGAAGAGAACCATTGAGGTATTTTTACAAGTTTTCAAGCCGTTTTCTGTCTAAATACGACAATAAGTGCTCCGTTTTTGCAGGAACTTGCAGCTGAGGTTCGTGGTTGGTCGAATGTAGAGGAAGACGTCACAAAACCACGCCTGTTGAAACGTCGTGCACAAGCCAAGCCCAATGAGATTGCGAGAGTAAGTGAAGTGGGATGGATACTTGGCTATAAATGCCACGCAGTTAAAATTAACCACGATCACCTGCACACACATACTCTCAATGTGATTGGTCGACGGTAATTTTAGTGAAATCGATCGATTGTGCCCATAGCTGCATCACAATACTCATCTCGAGAGGATTTCGACGCCCTGTTGCTGTACTTAGCAACCATCTTGCACGCGATTAACGCCTAAACCACTACCGACGAGGCTCAGTGTGCATGAGAACGTGTATTAACACAACTCTTTTTGTATTAAGGCCAATTCAATCAGCTTTGAGCAAGGCGACAGGCAGATGGAACGAACCAACACGGCTACATGTCCACTCTCAGCACCTCTGATCCCCGTTCGCAGCAATCTTCGGAAGCTGCTGAACACCCTCTAACTAGCTACGAGCAAAATAAAATAACTTTTCAACACCTCCAAATATGCCTCTTTTATTGAATTGAATCGACGCTCCACAGTTGATTATTTTGCGACTTTACACGCGAAAAAGAGCACTTAATTTGGAAGCGAAAAAAGCTGAGTCTTTTTTCCATTATAAACACGAAATCGCATAGTTGACATTTACAATAATCCATTAGTTGAAGTGTAATAAAACTAGTGTTTTTGTTTTGACATAAAAATACTCTGCATTTTCTAGGCCATTGCTTCATCGGAGGTTAATTCGGCGGGGAGGGAAGGAACAAGCGCGTCGATTTGCTTTTGCAGTTGTTGCCCATAGTCGGCGAAGTCGACAGGTTTGGCCTCAACTGCGGTTATGCGCAACCTTGACTCGTCCTAATAAGGAAAGAGCAAAATAAACTGATGCAGAAGACAAAATTTTGGTTAGACAGCAACTTTTTCCAGAGCCCTGCACTTTAACGTCACTGTGAATTTTGATTGGCTAAGCTGCAGCCAAATCATTGGCTACTTTTGAACGCTTGTTTTCTGATGGGTCAGGCTGCAGTGAACTTATAGACAATTTTCAAAATAGAGTCAAGGGCTAAATTTGAAAATAAAGTACGATCTTTAGTCGGCCCCACGTACATTGAAGTTGTCGATCTTGGCGCGCAATCGAAACAACCACGAATTGAACGTGGCATTTACGAAAACATTGTCCATTTGAGCTTCGTTCTAAAAATAAAAAAAAGAGCCATCAGGGCGAGAGCACGAAAACGACGGTGCGGATGGCTACACGACCAAGCTTTACTAACTTGAGATTCCTTGATGGCTCCCAAATCTTCAGCGCTGCGCCCTAAAATGGTTTCAGCAGTATCCTGGAAGCACGTAATCCAATGTTCGCCTGTCATGTCCGATATCTTAACCTGCAAAACAGAGTATGCGAATTTTCAGTGGATCTCGTAGCGGATCTCCGCACGATTTCGAAAAAAAACTGGCACACTTAAGGTGGGAAATTGGGTTTACCGACAGAAGCAGGCGCCACTTGTACGTGGGGACTTCGCGACCACACTTTTCACAGCGGTACAGGCCGTTCCCCAAGTCGACAACCTTCTTTTGACAACCCTCGGTAACACAGGCCTGGTACATGAAGTTGTCCTTCTTCAGGAACGTAACGGTTGCCTATAACACGCAAAAGCGAGTTAGTTTTAAGGAAGGGTTGACGCTGGGCGAAATGCTCAATTTGCACTAGCCTTGCACGTGAAGAAGTCGGGTTTGGCCTGTGTGCCGATGCCAGGCGCCTCGAGATCCGACAGGAGGTTCCAGTCGCGAGAGCCGCCGCCAGAACCGCCGTCAACCGTGAGCTCGCCGCGGTAGGTCTCGAAGTTCATGGAATTGCCACCCTCTCTTTCGTACCACCCCTTGAGCCGAAGGGCGTCCGGCACGCCAGTGGGCGACACCATGATGGAGGACTGAGCCACCGTTGTGAGCGACCGACCTACCACCACCAGAAGCGTCAGGCTTTAGTCACATCTCAGACAAAACGCCAATGCTGCCTAGAGTTTGCACAAGACGCACCGTTGAAATCACTGACTTTTGCCGACTTGACGACAACAACGGGGTGATTGGAGCCGTCAAATGTCGCCGCCTCGTTGCCCCACAAAGTCAGCCTCACCAGACACCCAGAATCGTCCACCAGACCGAGGTCTCTCTTCTGTAGTTCACGCTGCGCAGCCTTGGTTACGACTGTGGAGAGGTCTCCGGTTTCGTGGACAATAGCGACAATGTCTAAAACCCAAGTTGTTACATTATGGGTGAGTGGAAAAGACTCGGCAGATTTGGGCCTAGTATAAGACACCTACCTACAAAATCGCCGGCCTGGTAACTGTCAAGTTTACCAATCGGGACAAAGTTGAATGACGTCGATGGCACCGACACCTCCTCGCCGTCGTCGCATGGCACAATTTGCGTGTCACTATTGAGGGTCATTTCGTAGTCGTTATTGGTTGTATTGAACTGTTTGTTAGCGGGCTTTAAGGTCGCCTTGCTGATGTAATACACTTTGTTTACCTACAAAAACAACGAGCATGAAACCAGCACACGTTTATTCAGTCGAAAAAGGGAAACACTGGACACTCTACCTCAATCATGTCGTAGAACTTGTCAACTTCTGCGTTGAAGGCTGTCGCACGTATCTCGCCGCTCGAATCAAGCAAAGTGAAGCTGAAGAGCTTGCCCTCGCGACCATTTTTGTTCCAGGTTCGGATGGTGGCTTTTTGAGAAACGCGTGCGCGAATAGTCCAGCGACTTTGGTAGGGATTCAGACTCTGGATGGCGAAAACGCGGCCAGATGTTCCTCCAGGTGTGTCCGGGCTGGCAGGCATGAACGGCTTCGACAACGACTTGGTGGGTGTTTTGGGTAAATCAAGTGTGGGCTGAAATGATGACTGCGCGGCACTTGTTGGCGCTTTATTAGGCGACTGGTTAGCTTAAAGTAAGTACGATCAGCATATTATGTTAGGCAAATTACAATCAGAAATTGAGAAGGAAATGGCAATTACTTTGCGGGGCGGAATTTTCATCATCTACGCCCACAACCTCAACATCAAGAACGATAATTACGCACCTAGAGTGAATTTGAAAAAGAAGGTGCTTACTTGTCTTTTTGTACGTTGTGGCAAACATACTTCTTCAATCGAAGGATACAACCATTCACAAGAGTTTTGTTCTCGATAAGGTGATTAAGCTGGGTGGCAAGCATAGCAACTAATGACTTATAGATCATAGTAAAAAACTTACAGGAATGAGATTTGATCCCATCACTTAATAACAAGCGGTAGCGATTTTGACCAGGATTACCTCCAGGAACATTTTTATAACCCTGAGATACAAAAACTACAGTCTAACTTACGACCATCTTCAAGATTGGATCAGTTACATTTTTGCCTGCAAAGATTTGCTATGATTTAAAGGATTATTCAAATGGAAGGAGTTACATCAATAGCCCCTGAAGAAAGCTGCATAATTTTCCAAATCTAAGTATTGGCTCTGCACCACAAATAGTTTACTATTTCAAGGTCGAACACAATTACCAGTCAAGCATTGCTTCTATTTCAAAATTTAAGCTCTTATGTTTTTAAATATAAAAAAGTACACAATCGTAGAAGGTAACGTTTCATTTTAGTACGCAACAATAACGACTGTATTTAGCCCTACCGGTTGACAAACAGTCTGAATCGCATGATTATGTAGTCGGTTGATGCTAATGTTGTATGCACAGTACAAAATCCAAAGGCATTTTAAATTCTTGAAATATTGAAACTGACTATTAGCCAGTCTAGAAAAGTAAAAAATATTTTTGATTTGACTTTAAATATGTTAGATCTGATGTAATATCCCCGCCTTTGCCAAATAATTGCAATTTTTTAAAAAGTTCCTACAAATTACGGATTTTTACTATTGCACAAAACTATCATTAGGAAATTTATTTTAACAAATCTAGGTGCAAAAAAGCCTTTTTTATGAGTGAATGTTGCATTTTTTCGAATCTTTCCATCGCTTTATCATTGTAACATAAAAATGGGTTATTTATCTATCGTTTTTGCAACTGAAATGTTATTATTTTCATTAAGAAATGATAATTAAAGCCCAAAAAGTCAGTCCTCTTTTCGTTATTGGGAAATTCAGTCTAACGAGTTAGAAAAATACCTTTTTAGGTTCATTAACCAAAATCGAGTTTGAGTAATAAAATTCAGATACTACATCGCGTCGAGTCTGAATATGGCTGATTCTGAACGCATGCTGCAAAGAATCTGGTTATTACAATTTTGGCAGAATGAGCACTCTTAATCAGCATGCAAATTTTCATTGCAATTTTTGATGCATCAGTGTAACCTTTTGACAATCGTTCCAAAATATTAATTGTGTTAGATACAAATATGCCTCATTATTTCCGTAATATCTGAAAACTAATTACAAAAAACCAACGTGCTTTAATGTACACGCAGTCTGAGCTTCTAAGCAGCGGTTAATTTATGTTATTAATTACGCTTATTCCCGTAGGTAATTATTAAATTTGTAGCGATCACCGGTTTTGGGTGACGAGTTATTCATGTTACTGTTTTCGACACTAATCTGTGACATTTGTTGACACAAATGAAGTGTATATGAAATTCATAACTTTTGAAGTTCGACACCGGCGTGATCTTGACTGCATTCGTTGACTTGGAGTTTGAAAGAAAATTTTGCCAAAATTATATAGCCTTAAGAAATCAAATTTAAGAACGGTTCAATTTCCGAAAGTTTTTAAGCAACCTGAAGGCTTGCCTCTGCTATAATCTTACAAGCCTTGGTTGCATCTATCTTCAGGGAATTTTACCCGTTCGGTTTAATAATGTTCAGTTGTACTATTTGTCTCTATCTAGAATAATATAAAAATATACAAATCTGTAAAATAAACATTCCTAAGTTTAAAAGCTTGCCTAAATATAATTTTTCAATTTATTATTTATGTATTTTATACGTGGATTTCTAACCTGAAATAATTTTATCATTCCTTATGACAAATAAGTCTTTAATGGTATAGTCAAAGGCGAATGACCCTTTAAAATGTTTTGGCTAAGTTTTTTTGTGGTGGGCTTTCGTATGAAAATGATACGTTAGAACCCCGCATGCTTTTATGTCAATAAAATTTAATGTGTTCAAATCAGTTATTTTGGATTTGCGGCTTTATTGAACAAACTGGGTATTTTGGTCAGGGGGCATATCTAGCTATGTCGGAGGTTTCAGATGTAATTCGGCGGAATCGACCAGGGACAAAACGGGAGGTGAATTTGTAGTTTTAAAGTCTTACTTGCTAGGAGTGGTGTCAGTGGCCTGATGAAGTTTTTGACGAAGTTGATAGCACACTTGCCGTACAACAAGTACCTCCTGCATGCAATTTCAAACTAACACCGCTCTTTAGTTCATACAACAGTTGATACGGAAGGACTTCCGGAACGTCGATGCTATTCTTACTCCACCAGAGGGTCAGGATCAGGGCGTCTGGAAGTACGAGCACCTTCGCCAGTTCTGCATGGAACTAAATGGTCTTGCGATTCTCCTTCAAGATCATTGCACCCCGGAAACATGCGCCCAAATGACTGCAACTGAGCAATGGATCTTTTTGTGTGCAGCTCACAAAACCCCAAAAGAGGTTGTTCTTTTCAGTTTTACCTGTTGTCTATGCTTTCTTTTCAACATTTTAATTAACAGTTTATGCTTTTTCGATAACTTATGATAAATGCTGTTACTTTGCAGTGTCCGGCCATTAACTACACGCGCCACACGTTGGACGGCGCAGCCTGTCTCTTAAACAGCAGCAAATACTTCCCTAGTCGAGTTACCATCAAGGAGTCGTCGATCGCTAAATTGAGCTCGGTCTGTCGACGGGTGTATAGAATATTCTCACATGCTTACTACCACCACCGATGCCTTTTTGACGACTTCGAGGCAAGTTTTTAAGTTGGCCCTTCTACCTTTGCCTATTTTTTTGCAAAAGTTTGGGTTTTTGATAAGTTTTACTGCGACAATGGTTTGTCTCCAGCATCAAATCACAATTCATTTACCACAAGCCCCCTTCCGTGATTGGCTCCTCTGTCAATCATCTTCGAGCTTATTTGTTTTAGCTACTCACTCTCAATCGGTCAAATTGTTTAACACAAAAATTTTTTTCTGAAAATGATATTAAATCCCTGTACCACTGTATTCATCGTATTGGCAGTTGTGTTTTCTTGTATGTCAGATTCATTGTTGCTCTAAGTTTTATCGTCTCAAATATTCCTGGAAATCGTTAGTTGCTTTCGTAGTTTTCACGAATCACGACCGTGGAAACACGACTTAGTCATCATCTACTTTTTCCTAAGGCCGTTCTCTTAGTGAAACGTTTGCAGGATTGTTCAATATTTATTGTTCTGAGCGCGTCAATGTTCGGTTAGTGGTGTCGATGATTCTAAATCCCCAGTTACTTGGTAGTATCTTGGAGTCGTGTGGCTTACCTGGTCTCCCAGATGTATGGCAATGCAGTTAGAAATGTGTTGTAATTTCCACCAACATGTATATCTCTTCTAAAAAAGTTTGCACGTATGACGACAGCTCAACCTCTCTGTTTTTTTGCCACAGGAAAGAACCTCCCTGTGTCATCGATTCACAGCGTTCGTGCTCAAGTACAATCTGATGAACAAACAGAACCTTCTAGTGCCCATGGCGGGCGCAGATATCGAGGAGGTTGGATCGGTTGACGGTGGAAGCACGGAGTCCTCGGAAGCGACAACCGCCGCCGCCGCCTTGGAGACCTCAAGCGTCGACTCGGCCGTCTAACTGTTCCTTCGAATCAACACGCGTGTGCGTGCGTACGCGCATTTATGCTGACTGCCTTGATTCCTTACCCTTGTGTGTACTCTTCATATCTTGTCTTGTACTTTGTCCGTATTTTATGTTGCTTTGTGACTCTTGCGGATGGGGTTGGTTCCGTCGGTAATACTATAATTTGCTCCATCGGCCTTGATACTTGCTGACCTCTTCAAATACCCTGCGATCGTTTGGCAATGGTCTTAAGTTATGCCATCATTCCAGTAGCAGGACATAAGAAAGTGCATCCACGAAGAAATGTACATGTTTCATTCCTGAATATTTGTCAATTCGCGCACTGGCCTAACCTCTTCCAGTGAATTGAATCCATTGGGGTATCTCGTTTCTTCTAAATACGTTTCGACGAGCCATTAGGAGCGATGACGTTTTCCTTTGCTCCGTGACTTTGCTGACACATCTATCTCACCCTCTACAAGTAGGCAAACAGCTCGTTCCCAATATCTTTTAAGCCAAAATATGATAGCTGACATTTCTGTGGGCGTTTCCGACTAAATGCCACCAAGTACTTAGATGTCCGAAGCGATTGCAGGCATGCCTAGGTCCTTTATTCCAGTTAAACTACGCGCGTGTTTGTTCGGCCCCTTTTCTTGGTGCATTTTAACCACCAGGTTGATCCACCCAGTAGATGGACGTACCAGTGCCTGGGCCTTTCCAAACAAACTGCTTCGGTGTGGACCCATGATCCTAGCCAGGACTTCAATACCTAATGATTCCAACGCGACGCTCACCTGGCTCTGAACTAGGAGCCACAAATTATCCATAGACAACCACACTGGCCTCACGTCCTGGTTAATTTATCTAATATTCACGAATGAATCAAACCCGATTCCGCTTTAAAGCAAAACAAAGAGTACCGAACAACTATCCCATTGTTAAACCAGATTTGGCTGGAGCTAGCAAACTCACAGCAAGCGCAAAATAGAAAATGATTATTCCTTGTAATCTTAACCCAACACTTGAGAACCCATCCCGGTCATTCTTCACTGCCACAGGAAGACATACTTCTTGAACAGCGAGAACAAAGTATCCATGCAGAAGCGTTGTGACGCCTCTTAAACCTTGGATACAAATATGCTTTGATAATTGATCCAGGGTACAGGTCTTGCAACATAATCCACAACAAAATAGAAAAAAATTATGAAGAAACCGTTTTACTGAAATTTTTGAAGTAAAAGTAATACAATATGATCGACTTCAATTAAGCAGATATTAAAAACTCATCCCAGAGATAATAGTAAGATGACAGTGCACAGCATATCTAGTTTTCTGAGTCGGCTGGGCGTATATCTTCAAACAGTTTCTGATGAATATTGCGTTGAGAATAATGACTACTTACCCCCTTATTCAAGTAAATAAACAGGTTATCAACTCCCTTGTCAAGTACCCGCTCAAATCCGAATGCCAAAATGACCGCACTAGTAAACATGACCGACGGTCGCCTTAGAATATAATTATAGAACGCACGTAACATCCCGACAATCTAAAATACTGATGCGCTCAAAATGATCACGAGGGCAAAAAGTGATTTCAAACAAAAGGTGAAAGTTAGGTTCTAGTTTTGGGCCGACTGTTATTTTGTACTTTAAGGTCTCCATGATAATTTTTTTAAAAAGTGATCTGCAAGTCTTCTGTTTAATAGTCTGTTATTTATTTTTAATTGTTATTTGAATTTTTAGCCTAGGGCGATGCATTTGTAACGTGGCAGTCGGACACTTGTCTATCTTAAATGGGTAAATTGATAAAAATGTCTGTCGACTTCCAGCTTGTGCACACAAAACCAACTTCTGTAAGAGAAGAGCAAACAAAGGTAGGATAACGTCATGAATCGAAGCCGTAGATTATGCAATTTTTGGGTGCCATTTCTGACATATTTAGGTTAAACAAAAGGAACAGGTAAATTGCATTGTGAACGACATTTTTCTAAGTACAAGCAAGTAGATGGACTAGGTAGTATTGTGGGTTATAATTGGCAGTTCAATCTATTGGCATTCTCGAAATAGGTTTGATTTTCGGTCCTGGTGAAAAAGTAAAAATGCAAGTGCCTAAATCAAGAGATGAGTAATGCAGATAATGATTAAGACACATACACAAGGGCGCATTAGCTGGCAGTCAAGCATAATTAATTGCCTTTTTCGGAGAATAGGACAGTGAGTTTCGTTGAGTGTGCCGACATAGCTGATCCACATTTATCAGCACGATCGTCTTGGCGTCCTTAGTCAGATTGAGTGGATTTTTAGGGCAGTAATGTAAACTCAATGAGACACACTAGCATCGGCACCTGTGCAAGCTTCCTGGTTGAAGTTTAAAGATGTTTTGACCCACTTGTTTAATAAAACCCACAATGATCAGCGGATGTGAATGGCGGCACGTAGCGTTTATGCTGTGCTGTTTTTTGGCGTAGCCCAAAGTAATAGGATTGCGTGAAGAAGTGTGGCTAGGATTTGGGTCCCTAAGTTAAACATATGTGGGGGGCATATGAAAATGAGGTTTGTTTCAAGTCTCTGGTTGGGCAAATAAAAGACTTTTCTGGCTTGCTTTTTTCTAGGGAGACTCAGACCAATGTGAGGTCTTTGAACACAGCTCATGACAGGAATTGGGATATTACCAGGTGAGTGGGTTAATTGACGCTATGGTAAAGGTAGAAAACGTCATTAATGAGATGGACTTTGCCCCATAATGACCATGGGGAGCGCGATCGCCGATCTCCTTGACAGAAGTTTTGCATTGGCCCTTCAGCTGTTTATTATAGACGAAGAACCCTTCTTCGTCCTCAGCATGACATTCTGCCAAGATGATAGTCTTTGAGAGTTTTGTGACTGCGTTGACGCCTGCAGTGTCCGAGGTTGAGGGTAAGTCAACGTAAACTAGAGCTTCTTGCCACAAAGCCAACTGACCATCTTGTCCTTCAAAGCTGCATAGCCAGGTGAGGGCTTGGTGATCAAATCGAATGACAAAGGGTTTACCCTTAAGAAATTTTGGCACACATACTGAAAGCGTGCAAATCACGTCTCTTAGTGCTTTTGATGCCTCCCGTTTAAGCCATAGTATTTATCGCATAGTCTACGACGTGTTTCCCATTGTCGCCTTTTTGTAGAGTCAGCAATGTACTAATAGTCTCCCCTTACCCTGTCGTTCACTCAGTTTTTCTGCTTTTCATTGTAAGCTGCTGCAGTAGAAATGAGATTTTGCTGTACCCGTGGCTAACCAGTTTCGCCTAATAAAATTGCTTCTCATGTGCAGAGGTAGGATTAGGACACTCTTTGACCATACTAACTTCATCTGGATCGGCAAGGAGTCCCTCTACCGACACAATGTGGCCTCTGTGGGAAGCAGTACTTTTTTTTAGAATTTTGGTTAGCTCAGGTTGGCGGTTTTTTTCTAATATCTCCGGAAGTTTGTTAAGCAGTTCACGTTAAGTTGAGCTGAAGTCAATAGCGTCACCCACGTAAACGAGGTATTTCTGATGAAGGCGGCTGAGTTGGAATATTTGTTTGACGCGTTGGCTAATATTTGATACGTTGGCTAGGCACACAGGGACAGTTCCGAATTCAAAAAAGACCGGTTGGTTGTGTAAGCAGCGTGTTCACTCGGTCCGCCTTGATTCGCTTATAGTTGTTGAATAGGTAAAGAGTTAATAAAACATATGTCTTGAGAGATATTTAAAAGGACCATTCATAAGAGGAAGGGGAGAACAATCACAGGCCTTAACCGAATCAAGATTTTGGAAGTCTTTGCGAAGTCAAAGGATGCCGTATCCTTCGTTTTTGACATGTGCAGTCCAACAATAAGAGGAAGGTTAGACTATTTTGACCTGGCAATTATTCTTAGAGTGTTGACATGTCTGCGTTTAGAATTGCTGGAAAGAAGAAAAGTACCAGTGACAGTCCAGTGATGGTGGGGAATTGGGTAGGGATTGAAATCACAGCCGCTTGTATTTTGGTTGAGGACCGAAGACTTATAGGATTCGCTATGCGTTCCTACTACCTAAGGTTAAGAATCGCTTTTAAATATGAAAATTGGTTTGAGTGAAGACTTACCGAGGACGTTTCTGTGTGTAAAGGATAGGCGTCTCACAAACACTTTAAGCGGGCACATTAGACAGATTAGAGTCATAGCCAAGGTGGCTTCATTAAACTGAGTCAATGGGCATTTTCAATAGAACAGGGTAATAAGAGGAGACAATGAGAAAATTAGAAATAGAATTTGTGCAAGGAGTGTGTTTCAGGAAAAGGTTTGAGTGCCACAAGGGCAGAAAGATGGAGAACAAATGTGTGATGACAATGATAGCATGGAGTTTTTCTAATATAATGAAACATCTTTTGAATAATTGTTGGCCAAAGCCTGTTCAAAGCTTTTTGGAGTATTTACATAGCAGGTGAGGCTAAAAAGAGTCATTATATATACGTTTAAGGATTCCAAAGCGAGTGATGGGAGAATCAATCTAGTTCGGTCTTTGTGAGAGATCGAGGAGAGCAACAATTTTTGTCAGTAAGAAAATTTGACTTTTAGGCAAATGTTAGAAAGCTTATGTGTAGTAAGTTTGGAGCTGATAGTTTGGGGTGGAAAAATGTCAAAAAATGCGAAGTACAATCAAAGCCCTGGTGAATAGGCGTCAATTGGCTCTTTTCATGCACAAAAGATCTAGTGGAGAATGTAGCAAAGCTAAAAACGAAGTTTTCTAAAAAAATTCTATTTGAGCGATATGCGTAGCCAAATAATTATTTTAAAGTTACTACACGGAGCAAATTTAAAATATGAGTAAGTTTGCAATGTGTGTCAGATTCTCTTATTTAATTCTGACTAAGTTTCGGTGGGGTCTGTCGCTTTATTGATTACGTCCACCTTGCTGCTTCTTAAATATTATGACACTGTTATGCTGAAATTTGCTTATTCTCTGAATAGCAATACAGCCTACAGATGTAACATAGCGATAAAAATGTTTTGTCGCCTAACAATGATTTTAGACATATTTAACTGATTTAATGTCTTCTGCTTAAATAATGAGCAAAATAATTGAATTCATTTTGATTGTAAAAAGTCAACTTAATGTTGTATAAACATAATTTTATTTGCTTTCTAATCATGCTTAACCTTTAATTCTTCCGAATACACTGTATATTTATTCGATAATTGCTTTGCTTCACAGCCCCGAATGTACAAAACTAATTTTATTTAAGATCCAGACAATCCGTCGAATCTTCCGTCCAGCGACCTTTGTAGTTTGTTTTCTAAATAGCTTCAGCCTGCATGTAACTTATGAACATTAATTAATCTTTACATGATTTACCAGCATATGAAAGTGTAGCAAATGGGAAACGGTTTAACTTAAACAATCGAAATAGATTTCATAAAATATTAATAAATTGTGATACGTTAATTTTCAGTAGCTACCCATAAGATATTTCTTAATGTAGGATTATGGATTTCGTCTGGCTGTACTAAATATATGATACTTGACACTGTTTTAGAACCTTTTGGAAAATACACATAAATAATGCCATTTAATTAGCATCCAGATAAAATTGGATCAGCTTCAGGTGCAAATGGTTTTCCCTTTAACGTGCTCGGAGCTAGAGTAATTTAGATGCATGATTTTTGTACTAAGTAGCATTTCACTTCCATAGGCCACACTACTTCCTGTGTATTATTAAAAACAAACTGATTGATTAAATGCGTTTTTGGAAAAATAATTAGGACCTGTTGTTTCACATATTACCGTTTAATTGTTAAGGCCTTATGCTGATATTATTACGTTTGCCATTCGCTTATTAATTAAGCCCTCCTTTTTCGAGCTTGAAAAAACAAACCAACTATGCATGTAAATGCTTACAGTAACTTAAACATGATTGCTGTTTTGCTTCTGCCAAGGTAAAGAAGTTTTACTTGTAATTCGTCGTTTAATATGCTTGACGAGGGTTGTAAACACCTGTTGATTAGTCCATTTTTAATTATTGTCGATTTTGTTTTAGTATGTTAATTATACCTCACGGAGAGCCACGGCCGGAATTCGTACCTCCGGAAGCTTCATCGTTTTTTGTTGAAGTATATTTGTATGTCCTTTGCACAATTTCTTACTGCCTTATACCATTGCTATTTGATAAAGTTTTATGAAAAAAATTACATGTTGTTGTAGCATCAGTAATTGGCAATGCAATATAAGTAAGACTGGCTAAATTGTCGTCCAAAATGCGACTTAAATTGCCGTCATTCTTATATATGTAACCGAAAATTCCTCATGAATATTTAACGTCTTGTGTTGTTGGAATTTATCTTGCATTATTCTTTAGGAATTTAAAGTCTACTTTACCCGAGGCATGATTATTTTATTAATACGACTGCGTTCAATGCTAACATTCTCTGTTAGATTTCCTTGAAATCAGTCATTTCGCCTAACGCGTTCTGCTTCCTGAGATGTTTTTCATTTTTGAGTATTTCCCATCATTGCATTGTGTTTGGGTTTGACTCCTATTGCTGGTCTGATTATTTCAGTGGAAGCAATTACCTAGCATCCGCTCATACATTTTTTGTATAGTGTCGATTGGAAACAAAGTATTTTCTATGAAATACGAATTTTATTGCACCACAAATGTACGGCGTTTGATTTCATTGTTCAAAACGTTTTTTGCGTCCGTTTTACACGATATATTTACCACCTTTTGCATTTTTTTACGTGTTAGTAAAACATAAGTTAGCAGTCATGCGATACATTTGTCATTGTGACATTTTTTGAAACTGGCGTTAACGTGTCTCCGGTTACTGTTCGATTTACGTGAAGATATTTATTATTCTGACTATAGACAAATAATTTTTTTTCTAAAGCCGGCCATATATCTCTGACCCTTTTCATGAATTCCTTATCGCAATTGTGCTTTGTATCACCGCCTGAATCGCTCATTGTCTAATGCTAAAAAAATTATTGTGTGCGATATCCTTTTCGAATGTCTTCATTTACGTGTGAAACCTTAAGCTTTCGTTTCACCATCGTTGTAGATTTAGATGCGATAACCAGACAATGCATTCCTTAATAAAATCGCGTGTGTTATTAATGCAGCGAGTAGAATGAAGACATTCGTCTGAGGGGATTACATATCATTTGTGGAATCCGACTATCTTTGTAAATCAGTGTCAAGGTACTGGTAATGCCGCATAACTGTACTGTTAAAGCTTGTAACACTGTGGATTTATGCCATGGTAGCTGTAACGCTGGTTAATTTAAAAGTGTGTAAGCAACATCAATGCCTCTACTAAATGGTTTTGCCCTGCGGCGTTTGGTAGTACGTCTGGATACATCCTCTCATCCTTCATTTTAGTCCTTTCATCTGGAAATCGCTGTTGTATTTGTGAGGCCATTGTTCATTCCCTATCGGTATTCATAGATATCGTGGCTGATGTGGAATGAGGAATCACTATTTGAGTCGAACCGTCATTTAGTGGTAGGATGTTTTAGGGCGTGTTACCGACAGGAGATTGGTTTTTCGATTAAGCCGGAAACACTTTGTTGTGGCTGTGCTTCCTTGCTCTACGTCTCTCCATTGGTCGCGTAGATATTTCGTTTATGTACGCAACACAAAATGTTACTCAATGTAGCCTTTTCTGGTTCTCATACAGCCCAACATATTGTGGTCGATTTCGACTAGATCAAGGTCTTAATTTTTTGTGTAAATCTGTTCGCACCCACCCGGGCTTGAACTCCGTGAACCTAATCCGTTGCTTCACGTGGCACCATGAGATAGCAAACTAAGTCAGATAAGCGCTTTTTTGAGGTTGTTTCTTTGTCACTAACTCATTAACTTGTTGCAAAACTTTGCAATTTACTTTGATTAGTCACATTACGTAGAGCTGTTGTTGGGTCGTGTATGTGTCACAATCTAACATTCAGTTTAGAGGGTCAAACTGCATCACACTTAGCCCAGTCTTGCCATAAATTTGACATCCATCGATTGTTTATTCAAATGCTAGAATTTTGTCTAAACAGTCTCGCGTACCAAACTACCCCCACTGAAGCCGCGCGTCATTTTCAAACCCAGCCTCGTGAACACCTTCGTTGTTAAAACGCATTTTCGTTAGCTCGATAACCCCCTCGTGAATCGCGTCACTGCAGGAGGTCCAGCAGTTCGTGTCGCTTGCATGGCACTTGCTTTCTCTACCTTCCTTCCTTCCTCCTCGCCATATTCAAATCGCCCTTCCACCTTCTTCTTCCTCTTCTCCCAGGTCCGTGAACAATGGCGGCAGTGAGCCCCTACAACGGTGCTAGTGGTGACCCCCTGTGTTCCCCCGTCTCTCCCTACTCCTCAGGACCAGCCAGCTTCTCCAGCGACTACGGCAGTTGCGAAGGCTACCTCGTCCTCACCTTCAGCAAGTCCAACAAGTCCGAGCCCAAACCGTCCGTGACTGCTGCCTCCGACGTCGACACAGTGAAAGATGAGTATGATGAGTTTTTATAAGAAATTGCTCCTCTCTTCAAGCTCACTTGCTCTACAGCTTTCCACGAGTTACCAAATCAGGTGTTTGGGGTTGGATGGTCACCGTGGAATGCCCTGTTAACGCGATTTGCCACTCGCTGGCCTCTGTTTGTTGACAATGCGCATCTGACTCGATTGTCTGTGTCCTGGTGGCAACTCTAAGCACACGATACCATTTCACGTCCACCTAGTTTGCAGCATGAAAGTTATGAGCTCTTGATGTGACTCAACACGAGCCATCACCGAGGTAGTTTCCAGCTGACGTAAATATGGTCAATTCGCATCATCTCATCTCAAGTAGGGATTGTCCACAAGAGTGGACGATTTCCGTGCAATTGGTATTTGTAGTACAATTAGCGAGTGGTTGTGTTCCGTGTGCCTCTTCCAATCCTTGCGGAACCCACTTATCGACCACCTTACGTGTACCCCTGAATGTGGTGCTTGTGTGATTTAGCACGTAGCAACACCTCCGCCAACCACACTCCGATTAAACTACGTCTTTTATTGGATCAACGCCAGATGCAGTAGATCAGTCAGAGAACGATTTCGGTCATATTTGAGTTAACATCAGTTCACTTCCGACACGAACATTTAGTTGAGTGATCAACACGCACACACACACACACACACACACACGCATGTCCTAAAATTGATCCGAAGCCAATAGCTGTTAACACATTTACGCCCGATTTGAGCCTAAGAAGGCATCTATCGGATGTCAAAACGGACTAATTGGCGAAATTGTCAAATACTGCAATTCGGGTGAGCGAGTGGGTGGGTGGATTGGTGGTTGGAATGCTCTTGACCGCCTCAATCATCACAAATTGTAGCACTTTTTGTGCCTCAAGGTGGTTGCGAAGGGGTGTTAGTTGTGCCGGCGCAGCACGCAGCCTCGTGGTTTGTTAGGCTGCGGCATCCATCCGATGCGGGTCGACTCGCGAATTGAATAATCTTTTTATGCGCGGATGCGAGTGGTCGCACGCGCGCACACGCAGGCATGCACGCACTTTTATCGATTTCTGTTGGCGTTTGCGAGGGTTTGTGTGCTCTCGCCGGCACACACACTTCCTTTCTCATTGTGCGTGCGTGCGTGCGTGCATGCACACATCAACATCAACGCCAAAATCCACGTGTCTGCCTTTGCTGCCGTCTGATTGGTCAAGGCGTGTGCGTGTGCGTGCTTGCGCGTGTGTGTGAAACCAAGGTGTGCGTTGTTGCTATGGTTCCTGCACCTCGATCACCTGAGTCCACCACCTGATACCCCGACAAGTGTAAGCAACGTCCCCCCCATAAACACCTACCTGCTGCACAGAAAATATCTAGCACATTCCACGCCGGCCCTCCCCTCTCCCTTCTACCCTCTGTATCGATCGATTGGGGTCACGTTCCTCGCTGTGGTTGGACCGCCCGATTTGGAATACAAGGTCTCTTCCAACATTCTCAACCAGCCAACTGATAATACGTAGCCTTCGCGTTCAACAACCCACCGTGTAGTGTGCGTGCGTGTGCCTGTGGTCCTGTTCCACGTGACCCAGCTGATGACCGGCTCTAATGGTCGGCGTTGACACCGGGTTGGCGTGTGGTTGTGTTGGTCGGTTCATGCCAATGTGTGCACTTTTGCGTCTTCTGACTGTTGAAGTCCCTTGTGTCGTGCTCCTTGTTTTTTCGTGATTGGACGAAAATCCATCCAATTACATTCGAGTACCCGAAATGAGGGGGCCAGTCACTCAATAACGTGTAAATTGTTTAAATTAAAAAGGTGATTTTAAAAGAAATCGCTGTCACAAAGTGGTTTTGGCTTTGTGAATTCTGAAAACCGTTTTGGTCACGTTGATTTTATGCGTGGTTTGGTTGCTGCTTAAACGCAGAGATCCACTCTCGGGTCAGTAACCAACTGTTGGGGAAAAAACTAGTTTTATGACCTCTGTGATTGAGACTGGCCACAGCCACTGGCCATCCTAACCACATTAGTGGCCTGGGACACTGTGACCCCTGACTTGACCTCGTTCAGTCTGCTGGCCAGTCAGCTTAGCCGATAAGAGAGGCCGTTTCGTGATCGTCTCCTGCTGTGCTGCTGATTTTCTGAGTAACCATGGTGGTTGTGAGGTGGATCTGATGTCGATGCAACCTGGGGGTATGCTGGCGCAAGGTGATTGGTAGATTATCGGGAGGGTGATGGTTGAGGTCACTGTCCGTGCGTTTGGCACGTTTAGGGGAGTTGGACACTGCAGTGTGATTGGTGTGACTCCGGAAAGGCGTCAGCCAATCGGTATTTTAATGACCCCAGCGATCCCTGACTGTTCTTAGACCGAGCTGCAGCATCAGATTGGTTAGTTCACCTCCGCCGTGTTCAATTTTAATTATTTGTATCCAATCACAAATTGCCGGCCACTTGCGTTTCACCACTCCAAGGACACGACCTTGTGAAACGTTTGATTTCGTTTTTTTAGAAATCAGAATGGCCAAATCCAGCCACGTGATGTCACGGCTCCGCTATCTGTCATCCCCACCACCTCGCCTCACAGACCAGCTCGCATTTCCCGTCTTGCCGCGATGGCAGCAGGCGTGGACGTCTCGCAGCTCACGTCGGTAAGCATTGGTCCGGCGTCCGCCGCTGCGTCAGCCGCCTCCTCTGCCGGCTCCTGTTCCTCCTCCGCTGTGTCGTTGTCGTCGTCGTCCAGCGTCCACACCCTCTCCTGCGACTACGTGCGACGCTTCACGTACCCGGACGGCGACACCCACTACGACTGGCTCTCCTGTCCGCTCACCGAGATGCAAGGCAAAGGCGACAACGCCGCGCGCCCCACCTCCACCAAGCCCATCTCCCTGGCCGCGGTCCCGCGGAAGCCCTTCCTCGTCTACGACAGCTCCCTCCCCAGCTCCTCGACTTCAGCCTCGCGCAGACCACGCTTCCTCACGTCGGCGTCTCCGTCCGCCTCTGCGTCGGCGTGTTCGTCGTCGTCGACTAGGCGTCATCTCACCTCGCGCAAGATGCTGCGTTGTGAGGAGTGTGGCAAGTACTACGGCAACGAGTACAGCCTCCACCACCACATCTGCCTTCGACGCAAGGATGTCTGGAAGAAGGGCGATGTTCCCACCGAACTCGTCGACGGCCAACTGACCTACTTCTGTCCGGTGTGCAGTAAACCCTTCAAGTGGCTCGGCAACCTCACCAGGCACTACTACGTGCACACTGGACAGCGCTTCTTCAAATGTGATATCTGCCACAAGGAGTTCTTCTCCGCCTACCAGGTGCGACGCCACATGAACTCGCACACGGGTGTGCGTTTCCAGTGCACGGTGTGCGACAAGCCCTTCACCTGCAAGTACGCCTGCGCCTGGCACGCGAGACAGCACCTGAAGGAACAGCAGCAGGCCTAGGTTGAAGCCTCCGTGCAAATCTCTCTATACATATGCCATTTTTTTTGTGTACAAATCAACGCCAACTCCACGTCTTCCATTCCACACCCCACGAAGCTCAATTTTGACGCAGATGCAAAGATGCTGATTGGTGGTTTCTGCCTTTAACTCCCCTAACCCCCGTCCCCCCCTGCCAACACTTGCCTTGTCCCCTTCATCGTGTTGACCGGTACTTTCGCGATCGTCTGCTCAAACCTCAACACTTTTCTACTCTGCCTCGATGTATATGTGCTAAATGTTATATCTTTTTTTTTCTACTGCAACAGCGAGATGAATGCATTTTATGGTTACTGTTTGTTATGTGTGTGTGCGTGCGTGCGTGTAGGCCTTACCTACACGCGGCGGCTGCTGAGTTGGTCGTCTAGGCCGTGTCTTGGTGACTCAGCGTGCTTTGAAGGGGTCTGGTTAATCGACGACATGTGTAGCCAGGTGGTTGTTGAACGTGGGGGGAAGCGAGTGGTTCTGACGTTGTAGGACTTGGGAGAAGAAGGTGGAAGGGCGATTTGAATATGGTGAGAAGGAAGGAAGGCGGGAAGGTCGAGAAAGCAAGTGCCGTGGTCGCAACACCATCTGCAGGACCTCCTATAGTGATGCAATTAACGAGGTGGTTATCGAGCTAACGCAAATGCGTTTTAGCAACGAAGGTGTTCACGAGGCTGGGTATGAAAATGACGCGTGGCTTCAGCGGGGGTAGTTTGGTGCGCGAGACTGTTTAGACAAAATTCTAAGATTCTAACACAAATTGCCGGTAATTTCAAAGTTTCCTGAATTACAATTATTAATTCTGATTCTCCTAACTGACTGTGGGGAACACCATGGTACTCCATCGCTCCTCAATACCCGTAATTATGAATTGATGGTTAGTACCACTGTATTTGTCACCACTGCTAATGTCACCTAGTTCCACAGCTTTTTAGCACTGTATTGGCGTTTCTCGAGTCGATCTGGATGGGATTCGACGTCGATGTCAACAAAGACGTGACCAGACAGCGTGGGTTTTGTCCTGTGTTCATTTATTGACTTAAATTAGCTACCTACGTAGCGTTCTACCACTGCCTCGCACGTTACCAGTGCTAACACGAACGGTTAGTGTGTGTGACTTCATGACACGCTAGTCGTACCTGCTCATGCGTCGATGGTTAGCGTGTGTCTAGAATTGAAGCGAAAAACCATGCACCAAACACTCGTGCAATCGTCGACACAGCACTTTTCTCGAATATCGTCACCTCGGCATCGTATTCTTACCCGAGGTCTCCTGTCAAAGAGTGTTTATATTAACGCTCTAGTAGTGCTGCCCACGGTATCCACTAGCGCTGATTCGGTAAACAATAATGACGCGTGTTTCACTCCGAATCAATACCGAATTCGTTCCAAACAGTGCTTAATTTCGACAAACGCAGAAGGCTACGTTGAGGTTGACGGTGGGATTACACCAACAAGCGAAACAGGATGTGTGCGTGAGGAGGCACTTTGAGATCTGTGGAATAGCCGGCAGGTTCAATTCCAGATTTCTGGAAAGCTTCACTCGTGTTTTGGAAATCGAATGCCCCCGACTGCCAGGGAGACGTGCCAATGTGACACCTACTTTGTGTATGTTTTCGATACCCTGGACTTACAGGTGGTTGGGTCGGCTTGTCATTGGGTGTGTCCTAAACGCTGTCGTTGACAAATGGCTAGTCACAACGTACAGAGTGTATAAATCACGCGCATTGGCTACTCGCAATCCAAATTTACGACGCAGTTTGAACTCGGCGCGATAGGATAACCGACAATTTTGCTAAGGCACAGCAACACCACCAACAACAACAACGCATCTGATAATTCTAGCTTGGAAATGATGCTTAATTTTGAAGCATGTAGCCTGCCGTCGATCTAACCACTCAAAATGACTTGCAATCAGTTGTGTTTAATCGATATTCCTGTTGCCGCTCTCCTATTGGTCGAGAGCGCACTCCGCTGTCAGCCATCTTGAATAGATTCACTTTTTCTAACCAATCTGGTATAACAACCGACAATCAACAAACTATCTGCAATGCACTTTAGGTGCATCGATAATTTATTAATTGATTACAGATACAGGTGTCAGGTGCACACCGCCAGGAGTTAGAAGGACGTGTAATCTATGGCTTTTTTTGTTCGGAAAAACATGATAAATTTAACCGATATTTGTAACATATTGTAACAACCAGGCTACTTCCTTGAGGTAATTTTCGGGATGAGGTTTTGAGGTGTAGCCCACCGAGAAATCTGATTGGTTGTGGGTGTCGTGTTAAACAAGGCATCATTATTTAATTAAAATCTTTGAACTTATAATTACTGGTGTCCAGTTTGTGCAGTTACGTGAGGGATATGGGTTTGGTTTATACATTTTACGAAATCTGCACACACACACACACACCTATTTTGCGTAGCAGATCGTGGTACGCCTCAGGTTTCGCTTGCACCTTGGTACAAAGCGTTATTTGACTAAATCAAACAACGATCAGTCCTTCGGCGAGATTCTGTTGAACCATTGTTTGTGAATTTGTTTGATTAAACGTGGAACATGCTCTGGATGAACTCGGAGTTGGGCATGATTAACATAACAGAGTGAAGGTGTATTTGCATACAAATCACGCCCATAGGGAACCATACAAACGTCGATTGCTTTGTAGACCAAATTCGTTGGTTCTCTTCAAATAATCTTCACGTTGCGAATCGCTAATTTGGTATCCCTCCTCTAACTCGACGGCGCTATTAAGTGATCCTTCCTTGAAGTAAGTCGACGTTTTCGTTGTGGCCGGTTTCGCCACTCACCTGACCTCAACATCTAAATGCGAACTTTTGGCAAAAATGGTGACAACTGTCTCACGCAGTAGCAAGACACACACCAGAAGTGCCATCGACGTGGATACTGTGGAACTCAGCAGTGTTTAGCCAAAGTATCAAGTGGATCAACTTAATCTCTCTCTCGTGATTGGCGCTTTTGATTGGTCGTCTGAATGTGTTGCTGAATCTGCTTCTTCGTCGAGATCGATGCCAGGCATCAACGTCAGTGTCAGTTCACGCTAATCCTGTGCTGGGTCACCACCGCTATCTTCGTTAGAAGCAACTTTCTGCTTTTTGCAATCAACTATTCTCTCCTAGAGACAGATATCATTTCAGAGTGAACTTTCTGGAGTTGGTTAATGAACTAGCCAATCACAACAATCGAGGATGTGCCAGAAGCTTTTCGTTCAGAGCACACCTCAAGCACGTCATATTATTCCAAAGTGTTAGCTGATGTTGAGCCATAATGGAAGGCAGGAATCACTCTTAAATATCCCCAATTTCCACTTATTCACTCATCTTCAAGAGCAATTTGTCACAAAACGTAGGAATCTATTTCCAGCCACATTGAACGCCTAGGTTTTCTCCAACTTCCAAAAATAACACCCGACGGTTTGTCACCAGAAATGTTCGAATACTATCATTAGCAGTTGTTCGAATCCCGCACATAGGTGCTGCCTAGCTTTCGTTCAATACAGCAGCTCAACTCATTTCTACTAAGACGCCACAAGTTCGAAATCTGCGCTCCTGTAAGTCGTTGTCGATTTAAACAAGCGACTTATTTATCGCAAATTTGGCCTGATTCGCATCAAGCCTAACCTATGCTGTAAAGTTTCGATTCCAAGACAAATTTAGAGGACTCAAAACAGCCAAGAGATCACTAATGTAAACGAAGAGTTATTGAGGACACAAGACTCTGACTTCGATTATTTCCGTGACCTGGATCACTCAGAATTCACAAATTTCGAGGAAGTTTTAACCAGGGCCTCTTCATGGTCTCAACGCACTCATGATGTTCAATCGTTTATTTTTTTTCTTGGAAATACTCTACTTAAAAAAGTATAAGTGTCCTTCAGGGTTACGAAAGCTACTCCGTCAAGTGGGTTCCCAGAGGAATTGAATGTTAGACGCAATTGGCGAGGTTCTGGATGTTGGCTTCATCTGTTGTGAAAACTTGACATTACTTCAAGACGTCCAGGTTGTTGAGAAGTAAGCTACACCACGCAGATGGCAGAGGCGGCTAGAAAGATCAAAGACGACTTTGACAACGACCGTTCATTGGACAGCCCAACTAGGTTGTGTTCGTGCGTGTAATTCAAGGTCACAGAAGTACACGACGACATACTTAGACTTGTCCAAACAACCCGTGGAGACGCTGAGACAGAACAGGGTGGGCAGAATAGGCACATGGAAGTTGCGTCGAACGTAATCCTTTAGGAAGTAACGCGAATTATCCTATTGGCTGCTCATAAATTGCCCGAATTGTGTGACCGCCAGCACAATTTCCCCGAAAGCATGGACTAAGATGTCTTTCCTTATGTAAGCACTTGGCTTTCCAATATCGAACTTTCGAAACCCCTGCAGACATGCCATAACAAGAACAAGACCTTTCAGGGGTGTGATAATGCCGAATAGGATGTAGGCGCATAGAACCTTCCAGAAAATTTTAAATGTTGTTTTAAGGAAAACATGACTGCCAAGTGATATCTGCTTTCCACCTAATCAAGACAAAACACTTCAGATAAACTCCTGGAAGAGATATAGACCGATGTCTCGTACAAATTCTTTTATCGAATGTTCTTTCACGGAATTGGATGTCCTGTGAATTTCGAGAAAGCAGAGTTGGTCAAAAACGCTGAAAACCATGCTTCGAAGGCCATCCAATGTTGTCACACTGATTGCCAAGCCATCAACTGATTGGGAAATGACTGAAATAGGGGGGTTACCACTTGTTGTAGGCCCCAAATTGTGTTCTTGAACCACTCCCGGGCCATTGAGTTAACTCTGGCCCGATTACGCTTTCCTGATACCCACGACGAGAAAAAAAACCGGATGGGACGTGTACACAACCGTTTGCTTCAGAGCTCGGTCACTTTTGTGTCGTTGTGTGGGGCTTGCCGGTGTGTATTTATACCTCGGGTTTGTGAGTCATGCATGCGCTAACCTCGAGACCTAAGCATGAGGATAAATCAAGATAAATGTCCGTGCGATTGAGGGTAGGGGAGGGGTTTGAACCCCGCGGCTGGCGACATGCTGCGAAAAGGGGAACCCTGTGTCAGAGGATGGAGCGACCGGATTAAGGAGAGTGAATAAACACGATACACAACAATGGGTGCAAACACATTTGTTGTGCAATAAATGCTCGACGACATATCGATGTCTCTAGTAAAATCTGTTCACAAAATATCCTCTAAAAATGCAAATGTAATTATAATAGAAACGGGTTTTTAATAGAATATGATGTTGGCCACCATTGGACCTTTCCGATAAAGGGTGGCAGATACACAGCATTAAATATTCCGTAAAATTTAAAAAAAACAGTGAAAACGAAGCAGCATTTTTTGACTGCTCAAGAACTGAATAAAGGAAGATGTAATCAAAATCTTACGAACTAGCGAATTTTTGATTAAACGCCGAATCGATATAGTCGTTGTGTTTGATTAATATTCAGATAATGCCAGTTAGCAAGTCAATAAAAAATGCTATACAATTACACACAGCGAAACATGTTGACCTCAAAGGACACAAATCTGGGAGCAAACTAACCACGCACACAGATTTCATGAGTTAAAATCGGGCAACTTGACTAAAAACCGGTTTGATTAATGACAACGAGATGCGTGAGCTATGAAAATTGGTAATTTTACATTATAAGTTTGTGGACTAATAAGAACATAATGCGATGCACACGAGTGACATAGCTTTGTTGGTAATTGGTTAGGGTTTGTGGAACTATCGGCATTCAAACGAGAGAACGTGAATCGCGACTACGTAATTTAAACCTTCAAAACCCCCTTGATAAAATTTGTCATTAAAAAATGCTACCAAAATATCGTCAAAAAGCCATGCAAGTTACACTTTTAACACAAAAACGTCACTTTAAGCATGTTAAAATAGGCAACAAATATAATTTTGCATTATAAATAAAAAAGTTAATTTACTGAGAATAAAGCGGAGAGACACATGGTGTGAAGCCATGTGAAATCTCTTAGCATGCGACAAAATGGCAACATTCAGTCAAACCGAAAGTAATACAGCAGAAATTGATGCGTTACAAAGGAATACATAATTTTTATTTATGAATTGCTAAATCAAATAATGCAAGGAGAAATACTTTACATATAATTTCAAATTAGTTTAAATTATCATAAACATGAAAAAAAAATATTTTAAGAGATATATTTGTGTCTGTTAGACCTATTTACTGCAACTAAAAAAATCACGACAGTAATTGTTTAAATGCATAATTTGATAGCTGTTGCTATAGTAATTGCACATCAGATGTTCATTGGTTCTTTGGGAAGGCTATCGCGCCAGAGATTTGCTACGCACTTTATACCGAGTTTGAATTTTGTGTGATGTCCGTTTCGGTAAGTGTAAAGATTTCTCGTACGTTTCAAACTTTTGTATGTATTTTAGTTGTAAATTTTTAAAAAAATCATTCGTTATTGTGATTTTCTCCATCAACAAGTGCATAGCAAATGACTTTTAAAACTGTGGCTTCTTGATTTCCATAGCTAAGCTAGGTAGGCTTGTATGGCTTGGTAATTTTTGCAAGCTCTTTGCTTTGCGATAATTGCCATCTGTCAGTTAATTTGAATTCTAAAGTTAATTATTCTCCCTCAAACTACAAGAATGAATCATGTCCAACCATGATTAATTTATTTTATATCAATTAGATTCCATCAGAATACTTTCCTGTGAAACAAAATTGCAAATTATGCTGCTTTGACATATTCTCCGAAAAAACATGAGATTAAATAATAGTCTAAATTTTTGCATAAACGTATCGTCAAGATTTACGTTCGGCATTCTCTTCCAACTCTCTTCTCGCCTGATCAGGAAAAAGAACTTTCAGAACTGAGCTTAGAACATGGTGAATTCTCTTCAAGTCGAAATTTTCATTAATTTGTGTTGTGTTTAGCGCTTGAACCTTTCTATCGTTTTCTGAAATGTTGCTTTTTTACTCACTTTTTCCGTGATTATGTACATCTAGACGCAGTTGATGAGAAATTTGGGTAAAAGGTCATCTAAAGGCCCCGTGTTTGCTTGACAAAGGGATTCATTACCATCACTGCTTCCTCTAAATATTATTCTGTATCCGAGGTGATGTAACTGTGGGGGCTTTTTTTATTAATCTTACAATATTGACAAACGTAAGTGATTCCATAGAGTGAAGAGTTGCCTCGCCAGACACGTTTTCGGTTTGCCTCATTAGTGTAGACTTTCATTCAATAAGATAAAGTGCAAAAATATAGCTTACAGAGATTGCTATTTGGCCCGTAGTTCTGCCTTCTTTGCGTACGTGTAATGCCTCTTTGATTGTAATGCCCACCACTCTCTGGATTCGAAAACAATTTGCCCAAACGCACCTTCAGGTTTTCGAGTAGATTTGGTTAAATTGCGTGATCTATTGCTTAACTGCGAGTTCAGTATGCTGACGCACAACTAGTGGGAATATCGCTTTCACAAGGCCCCTTATCAGCATTGCGATCACATGATCTGATGCATAGTTTATTGTGTCAGAAAACTGCCTCATACGCCATTCTATGTGAGTAGCAGTTAATTCACCCACTCACGCACACGCATCATTATTGTTTTTAGACAGCGGATTTTCAGAAGCAATTGGCTGCGTTGAATGGCCACCCTGAGGTGCGTCTCTTTGTGCGCGCCTCAATCACCGACCGCAGCACCATCGGCGCCTGTCTCATCTGCCACCAGTGGCTCATGGTGTTCCGCTACATGGTGGAGATGGACCTGATTCGCCTGGAGGTCGTTCCTATCTCCTACGACAACGAACCCGAGGACTACAAGTGCCTGCACTGCTCCAAACGCCTCCCAGCCGCTTTCCTGCCGGAGTTTCAGCTGGCCGCCTCCACCCCGGACGAGTTGGAGTCTCTCTTGAGCAAATTCCAGTGTCCTCAGCTCGCTTTGCCGTTCGAGTCCGAGGAGGTGGCCACTGCCACACAAGCCTACATCGATGTCTACAAAAATGTGCTCAACTTCATCCGCAACAACTCCGAGAACCCGCTGTTGCACGCGCTGAAAAGGCTTGAGGAGTTTTTGCAGTCGAAAAATAAGCGCTACCTCTTGGGCGACCAGCTGACCTTCGCCGACTGTATGCTCATGCCGAAGCTGCAGGTGATGCGAGTGCTCCTACGCGCCTGCAAACAATGGGACATACCGCTAGAGCTTGTCTACATCTGGCGCTACGTGAAGTCGATGTACGAGACCACGGCGTTCACCGTGACTTGTCCGCTGGACAGGGACATTCTGATGCACTATAAGGAGAACAAGGCCCTGGACATTCCCCTCAAGACTATACGATCGGGGGAGGATTACCTTCACACGTGTCCATCAGAGTTACCCTTGGTGTAGTCTGGAGGGTGTGTCTAGACACCGTCTCCTCTTTCCCCCCTCCCCCCTCCCCGCCACTGCCTCTCTCTTTACATTACATCAAGCTATTTTTGCAACCCGGACACTCTGCACCCGATCATATCGGTTTTACCAAGTTTAACATGGCGCAACCCTACGATTTTACTGCTTAACTTTACAATATTGGTGCTGCTAGCGGAGCCGTGGTCAATTTGGCGTTGTGCGCGGCGTTGTGGTTTGTTACATTTGCCTAGCAACGTTTCAAACCGTTTCCTGTTAGGCAGCCACACAAATCGGGCTGTGTGGCGATATTGAGAGTGTTAGGGCCACCGCGAAAATTGGTATTTAGCATCACTTCGGTGTTGAGGGGAATTCGGGAAAGCCAGAGAAAAAGTCGGTTTCATTAGCACCACGATCGATACATATATGCACGTATATCCAGATTATGCGAATTTTCACATAGCGCCGGTAATAAACAATATGCGCATGCAGTCGACACAAACACACACGCGCACACACCCAATCTGGGGTTACTGAGACGTGTTGCAGCAGGATTGTCAGCTATTGGACTCGGTGTCACGTCCTCACTGACTGTGTTCTCATGACGCGCCAGTTTTGTGGTTTGCTGTCAGAAACACGTAGCTAAAGGAGGTTGAACCTGATTGGTCCACTGACACCCCCCCCCCAGAGTACAGTCGGGTTGTGGTAGTTTGGCGCCAGGGTGGCAAACCTCTAATATCAGTTAAGCAGAGCCCGAATGTTTTGGTGGGAATTTTGTTTTAATGGGAGACGCGGCTTCGTCGCGCGATTGTTCCCTCCCCCACCACATTGGATGACTCACACGCGTAGGCACGCACGCACGCACGCGATGTCACATGACGCTGATGGTAGTTGTAACTCCCACTCGCGCATGACTAACGTGCGTGATTGCCTTTTGCTTGATTGACAAGGCGACAACGTACTGGGGGGTGTTTAGCATCTGTGTGGATCGCATTGCTTCCTCCTCTGCAAACGACAGGAATTCGTCTCGTAAATTAACAATAGGCTCGAATTTTAAAAAAAAACCAGCTGGGCCCATGAGGAAACCACGAACTGTGGGCACGTTCAGTTCTACTTTAATGCCCTTTCGGTTTGAAAGTGCGCCTTGGTTTGTTTAAATGATGTCTGGCCTAGAGACTGGAATTTCAGTTTGTTTAAAATGACTCGAGGCATGTGATTATCAGAATTATAGTGCAGTTCATTCCATTGGAATTCCACCAACCGAATTCACATCTGCACACCGCTCATTTAAACACAAGCTTGGAGCTTATAGGGCTCAGCCGACGTCCTGACCTCCGTCTCGGTCTTGATAGTCGTGCCTGGTTTTGTGTGGTTAAACCGTGAAGATGCAACATTAGAGGTCACAAACTGCACAGGCCTGTGAGCCAAATTGGCAATTAAGCAAGACGGTGTCGGGGGGGGGCGGATATTGATTTAAACGGACTCTTGTGGTGCCAGTGACCAGCGAACTGCGCATTTGGCTATTCTCCGAAATTTGAGATCTACAAGTGTCACGGCGGTGGTAGGAATTTGAACCCCAGCGCATTTTCGTACTTGCAGAGATTTGAAGATGGAGAACATCTCAATTTTTTCCACAAATACGCGCGAAGATTCATGATAAGGCATTGACCAATCAGTTCTCGACGCCTGCCACTCATTTGTCTTGTTTAAATGAACTCATTTCAACATGAAAAGTTAATTAAATAAATTGAGCAGCTCGTGTGAGATGGGATTTTTTTCAACCTGATTAAATAAATCAACCCAAAGCATACAAGTAATTAATTTTAAGGAATAATTATTGAAACGTAAGTCGAATTATTAGATGACAGGAAATCATCAGCACCCGGCGTCACAGTAAATATCAGTTGTCAAAACCTGACATGTCTAGGGGGATTAATTGCCTGATGAAATTAACCAATCAGAGAGGAGGTGGAGATCGCTGTGACCTTGAAGACGGTTTTCAAAATACTTCAAATCTCAGTTAGAAATTGTTGTTTTCGATGGCACACACAATGAAGTGCCGACTCAGCTACACAAATTCTTTGGTGTCAGTTTTGGGTTGAAGAGGGCAGTAACAGGGGCTGGATTGGAGGTCTAACTAGTCCATGCCGACATTTTTTCTCATTAGTGATTGGCTGCTTGTGGTCATTTGGGCCAGATTTGGTTTGTGCCAATTTGAATCAAATGAAAACGTTGACGTTAACACAAAAAGTTGCAAGACCATCGATTAAATCGATTGACACCACTTCGATGCAGTTTGATGAAAAATTAATTGAAAATTGGGGAAACCAAACCAGGCTCTTAGAGCTTTCCGCCATGGAGTCCAATTTGATTGGTTATTTGCAGTGGGAAGGGATATAATCTAACCTTCAATTAACCACATTAAACAGGCGTGAAGACGAAAATACTATTCATTTTCATTTTTCACATTCCTCTCAATCGTATCCTTCCTAATTCTTTCATTTAAATGCCTGGAACGACAATATTTCACCTTCTTGGATGTTTACAATGAAATGCTGACATGTTTTTCTCCGGTCGCGAGAGTAGGTTCATGTTTTCAGTTTATTAAAGCTACCTAGTAGTTGTAAGTAGGTGTATTTTTAGAGGTGATTTTTGAGACGCGGAGATTCGCGCCAGATCACATTGGAGCGTGTTGTCACTAGATAATGTGTACCTCGATTTCATTTTAACCCATCTCAAATGATTTAACAGTTAAAACCAAAAAGCACCTTTTCTTTTGTAATTTTCCGAATCGTCTAATCTTTTAACGTAGGTGAGCAACGATTGTGTGGTGGAATGGAATTGGACCAGTTACGCGAGTAAATTTAAGCCAGTGATTGGCTGAGAGGCTGGTATTGAGGTCATCGTGGAGTTCAGACGTTTAATTCATTCTTTGCAGGAAAATTCTGCTTTTGCAAAATCTGAAAAGCAATAATTACAAATGAAAAAAAAGCGGACAATTCCCGGTAACACCCCAATACGTTTACCTGATTTGTGTCTTCTTGACTAATTGAAATCGTTCCGGCCTCCCATTGGCCAGCGCGATTGGTCTTCATTCGCTCTGATTGGCCAAAATCGATATCCTGTCTTTTCAGTCTAAACGGTCTGACCTTATATAATTTTTTAGACGAAATTGTATAACATAGAAAATTAAGGGTTTTAACGAGAACTGCATAGCGAAATAAAATTTCCTTTGGTACGTAGCGTGCCAAATATGCACATTTATTCGGATTAAAATGGGAGTCATTTAAAGCCCGCTAGGAAATAAACCCTAGTACAAAAATTAATTTTGCGTCGTAGATTGATTGAAATGTTCCCCTGAAAAAAATTAGGCGGTGTTTTATTGTCTACGTCTTAGGTGCAATCAACACGTGAAGGCCCATGGTCACGCAAACTCCATGGCCAATGACAGAGCTGGCGTAGCCAATGAAAAAGAGAGCGGTAGGGTTCGAATTTTTGAAACGGTGTGCCTCATAATCCAGAAATACGACAGCGGAAACACAATGTACGAAATAAAGGTAGGGAAAAGTGATGATCGTGCACAAGTCAAAATAATATTTTTGACCAATCACAATGGACAATTTATCACTGGGATATTTGGACTTCAATTCAATTGTTACCTCTGCTGAATTCGACATGACCTCAAAATGAACACTACGCAGCAAATCTGATTGGTCCATTCTTGTGAACTCCATTATTGATTTTAACGAAGACATACCTCATGTATTCTGATTTAATTTTCGTGTGCTTAATTGGCCACTCCATCCAGCCATGTTGATTACATCAACCAATGACTGTGGGCCTTAGTATGTGGTCCTGAACCAGTGTAGAATACCCGAAAACTAGTATGAAGAAGATTGGTGCAACAGAACAGGCTTTATTGACCAATCACAAGCCACAATCACGTCCATCCGAGTCCACCACACTAGCCACGCAGTTCATTATACACTGCTCCTCATTCGTGTCTGTCTCTGGTTGGCTGCCTGTCTTCCTCTCATGCCATTGGAACACAGAGAGACAGAGGATTGGCTGAGGCCAGCGTGGTCCGATATGTCTGCTCCCTCAGACGTCGCCACACCAGGTCGGGCCACTGTGAGTTGGATGTGGCCCAACTACGCTACCATGCTACCCGCGATGAGAAAGACGGATGATGACATGGACACAACCGTTTACTTCAGACCTCAGCCAAGTTGGTATGTAGAGGTCGTGCGTGTGTATTTGAACCTCAGATGTGTGAGTTATAGATGAACTAACATCGAGACCTAGGTGTGAGTATAATCCAAGATATATATTCGTGCGAATGAGGGGTGGGGAGTTGAGGATCCACGCGGCTGGCGACATGCTGTGAAAAGGGTGTAGTGGGCCCCGGTGCGGTTTCGGAAACCACACCAGGGCCAACAATCTACGTTGACGCGGCCCCAACCGAAAGGAAAGTAGAACTGCAGTAGGAGAGTAGCTCAACCAATTTATTAAAGCAGTAGCGGTGTCTGTTTTTTGTGCAGGATAACGAGCGCGATAAAGTATGTCTTCGCTAAGCATCGATCCCCGAACGAGTATAGTTGCATGAAGTGCATTCACAAAAAAATCGATTGAATCGTGTTCACTTGCGACTGCGAACTGTGCTCGCCTGCTGCTCGCTACAAGGGGAACCCTGTGTCGGAGGTGGAGCTACCGGATTAAGGGGTGTGAATGTACAAGATTCACAACAAACCTTCTGCCAAATGTGATTTCCCGATGTGACCATGCGCGATAACCAATGCCTATTAATTAGTGGGTGTAAACGTTCTCCAAGTTTGTAAATACAAAATGCAAATTATGCCTAAGTTGAGTTACGCTTTACCATTTCAATTATGGGTCAGTAATTTTGAAAAAACCGCATCTCTTGTTAGCCAATCAAGTTCTTCCGTAAATCTTGGAATTAGGTGTCGAAAAAGTGCCCCAGTAGTTCTTATTTTGGCATTTTTATCACTTATGTCTTGACTAGAACAAACATCGCCCACATGAAATCGCACAAATTGGGTGTTCAGTGGTCTGAGGAGGTGCTGAGTTGGACTAACAAGATTTGACTTCAAAAATTAATCTATACGCTTTCTAAAAAGCAACGCCATAGCTGTAAACTGAACATTGTCTCGACGCTTCGTTTAAAGAATGGAAGGGGTAGGGTGGAGGGGGTGGAATCGGCAGTGACGATGACGATGGTGAGTAGGGGTTAATATCAGAGTCGCGGAGCCCCTATCGATCCGAAGTTTTTAACCAGATTATCCCTAATGTCAAAAATCTCGGTTTCCGCCACAATGTCGATTAGACGCGGCAACGAGAGGCACAATTCCAGCATAAATTCCTTCAAGTGTTTCCAGCTGACCACTCACTTGAGCCGAAATCCACGGTTACACAAAGCTTCCTGTATCTCATTGCTATTTCACAATATTTATGACTAAAATTATGCTATTTCACACGTGCCGAAAGTTGTTTGGGTGGCGTGGTAACAGCCAATCGAGATGCAACCTAATTTATTACCAAAACACCGCTTTTCGCAATGTCAGGTGATCAACATTGGTCTCCTGTTCACGTGAATGCCTCGTGAAAACGCAGCTTTTCGCTAGCTGAAAATACTAAGTAGTAAATAACCGTGCACTGTGTGTAAACAACGTCAAAACTACCAGAATTAAGAATATTTTCCGGATTTTGCAAACAAAATTTCACTTCGTCACAAACTCCGTGCTATCGGTTTATCGGCCATTAAAATGAGATTTGATTGCAATCAAACCATGTTATATATATATATATAGATTACTAGACACTAAATCGAATTGAAATCCAGCGCCTCATTGATTTTCAATTATTGATCCAATATCAACCCGTTCGAGAAACCTTTCGCGAGATGAATAATCGATTCTACTGTGGAGGTTGTTGATGGGCCTTAAAAGAAAAGTAACAATAACCCATTACGAGAAAATGTGATGCGGATAATTACACTTCGTTTACACACAGCTTAAATGGCGTCGCCATGTCCTCCATGTTTAAATTAGCCACAATGACTTTGAAATCAGCCAATAGCATATCAGAAACGTGTCTCAAATCAGGCTGCACCTGCGTGAAACCCACCAGCCATTTACTTGTTCGTCTTAATGACTGCTCATCTATCGGTTACGCACACAAACCGCACGGCTTTTCCTACTCGTTGTTACTGTCGATGAGGTTGCCCGTCGTTCTTCTGTGAAGAAATTTAGCGAAATTGGTCGTGTTATTTGGATGAATCAGATGAGTTGTTGATGCATAAAGGCACATTGTAATCAATAATCGTATCGTGCAGCAGTTGAATCCCATAAATATCTTGGAAATAAGCGAGAATTTCCAATTTGGTTTGAATTTGAACAGAGACAATGCGATTTGGTGGTTCCTATGGGAGCGATCAATCGGGTTTTCCTTAAACTTCGACTGTTAAACACTTATGATTGGTTGGTGTGAAATTAAGTGTGCTGGCGGGCATATTTTAAACTTTTTTAATGAGAAAGCAAAGAGGAGGTAAGTAAACCATGTCTAAATGTCAATAGTAAAGTTGATGATTTGATTGGGCAACATTGCCAGATAGCTGATTGGCCGCTTTGGAAAGCGCTTCCTCACGACTTACCCTTTCAAAAACTGTTTTTTAGTCCAGTGTTTTGAACAAAACGGTTTAGTGGAGTCCGACTTTTTCACAATATCATATGAACCACGCACCCTCTCATTGGTCAACTACAGTTTCCAGGTACTATCGATTTCTATGGGTTGTCAAGGTCGTGCAAAGTACATAATCATTCGGGTGCCAGTATGCGCTGCACCAAAATGTTTAAAAGTACACGCACCCAGGCGTTGAACTGCGGAATTAATCAAAATTAAATTGGGTAAATATGCTTCCACCAATCAGATGCTCGTTCATTTTCGAATGTTTACTCGAGCAACTGTGATTGGCTAACACTGGGAGTTAGTCCCACCACTATTTGCTGGCGGTTTTCCGTGCCTTCAGATGCAATAAAATCGACATCTCTTCAATAATTAGGAATAACTACACTTATTTAATCGAAATTGGAATGCCACATCGTTCTAGTACCAGTATTTGTCATGACTACCTTCGTCAACTTCACATGTTTGTACAAAAGTGCACGTTAACCACGAACACATCTTGGTCAATGATCTCTGACACTTACACCGCAATACCATTCCTAAACAACGAGTTACTGCGGTTTGGTTTTTTTGACAAAAAAACACGACGTCAAGACAAAAACGAGGTCGCAAAAGTCGTGATCGCAGTATTTTCTCAATCATACAAATTATAGAAATGGCAGATAGTCGACTGAAATTTGTCACCGGAGATTGTTCATTGGTGGGCCCCTGCCAGCTTAAAGCGGACAACGGGGCAGGTCGACGCCAGTTGGTCCCCTCAAGTCGCCGTGCCCATTGGCTAGCCGGAGCGCCTCAAGGTCAACATCGGGATAGACCAATTTTGACTTGGACGAGACCACCTCCAACCGATTTTTCTCACCGGGTACCTTTAGGAAGAGGATATGTGCGGCTAACATTTGCCACCCTATTTACGCCTCACTTATTGGCTTCTCTGGTCTCGGTTGAAGGTCACCTGTCCTGCCGCTTCCCTATTGGTCGACAACCGAGGTCGGAAAACCAACTGCTCAAACCTTAACTCAAACGAAAGAAGCGTAGTGCGGACACACAAATGCAGTCATCATTAAATTTCAGCTACATATGTAAGTGAACATCTTCAAGTAATACAAATTTGATAGCTATAGTGGGTATAGTGACGACTTGAGTTTGGATTAAATCGATTTTCTGGAAAATGAGTGAAATGAGTGTACAAAAACGATTGGGTGATCGGTTTTCGACACCTTGCCCGTGATGTAACTTGCAATGACCTCGGAAAATATTCCTATCGAAACGCACTTCACTTCGGCTAGGAAGAGCTAGATGAATCATCCTCCATCCTGGCAACTTCGAAGCACTACGCGTTGACACGCGGGTGCCAGCGTTTGTGGATTATGCGTATTCGCACGGGATCACAAGTGAGCATAGTAGGTCCAATGTCGATTCAGATGAAAGTCACACACACAGACACACACACGAATTGGCGGAGGTACCTTAAAGATTTGCATAGTGTTGGTGCGTCCCGTACCAGCTATCGTGCCGGTGACGATGACCACGGTGTCCTGGGGCTTGACGATGCCCTCGGAACGAGCGAATTTCACGGCGGCGTTCAAACGCAGGTCCACGTCCGCCGACCAGCTTTGCAAACGCTCGCCTGAAGAACAACACACGAAAAATTGGGGGCTCGTGAGTCAACTAGTGGAGGATTCTGTCTGGGGACAATGCTTTTCTAGAATTTATGACTTTCGTCCATCTACGCGTAAGACTAGTGGAGTTTTAAACACTCATTTTCGATTGGCCAATTCTGATATCTCTGACCTTATCGATTGTTCCTGATTCGCTTACCTTGCTCTTGATGTCAACTTAAGATTGGATGAACCAGTTACTTCGGAAAAACGACCTATCGATCGGCGTTGATTGGTAGTATTGCAATGCCAACACTGTGATCTACCCGTCTCTTTCCACAGAAGCACACACAAACAAACCTCCGAAATCGCATCGGATGTGATCAAGGGAGTAACATCCACAACTGCCAACAGCACGCTGAACGCGTTACGGAACGCTCTCACTAGTCATTTTATAGCTCATCCATTTGCGAAATTTAAAGTGTTTTAGCAAACTAAAATGGCATTTTAGTTGACACATTTACAGGGAAAAGGTGATTACAGTGGCGACGGGAAAGTGTGCTTTGCCTAACAAGTTTGCCCACCATAAAGCAAAGCAAATAGCAGAAATGCCTGGCGTTATCTGAGGGCAAGCATTCAGCAACAAAGTGTGAGGGGTGGGGAACAATTGACCACGCACCTGTGTACACAAAGGGAAAGACGCCGCGATAGGCGTGACAGTGCCTGGCGACCTCGGGGTGGCGAGTTATCGCGATCACGGGGCAACAGGGACCAGCACAGGCAACCGAGATCGCTGATCTGCAACAATAATAGTCGGTAGTTGTGTGTAGTAAACAAGACAGGTGTCTAGAGTCACCCAGTTTCCGCCAACAGAACTTTGTGTGCTTGTGTGAAAAAGGTGAGCAAACCCAGGCCGCTAAAAGGCGAAGGAGTTTACGACAAATTGTTTTTGAATCGAAACACTTTCGGTGGCAAATTTACGCATGTTTGATGTGTCAGTCGCGCGAAAAGTTGGAATTTTCGGCATGATATTTGCCGAGGTCACTCCGAGACAAGCCACGCTCAACACCTTGGCATCAAATCACGGCTGAAATAAGGTTTCAAATTATGAGCAGCGAAGACAGCAAAAAATTGGACACATACACACACGCACAAACCGGGTCTGTGAAAATTAGACACGTCTAACTAACGAATTTACAACGGGAGGCTTGCGTTTATGTGATTGCGATTCACACGAATTGTACTTGGCTGGCTACATTGGTCAATGAACTGTGTGCTATCCACAACTGAAATCAACTCGATAATTGCGCAAGACCGATTTCCAAAACAAACAGAAAGCAAAATAAAAAAAATTAGCAAGTATGAAGTGCAAATTTTGTAAGCGGAACACATAACTCCTTCAAAAGCATCGATAAACCGTCTGAAAGTGATTTAAATAGACTTAAATGACACCATATACCTTTCATCAACTAAAGAACAATCATTGCAAGCAAACAAGACGCCACAAAATGGTCCACTCACTCGCCAGTAGTTGTGATAACGAAGATACCCTTGGCGTTACTATTCTCAGCTGCTTCGACCGCGGACAAGGCGGTAACGTGAGAGATATTGCGCTTGCAAAGCCCCATGGACGCTCGGTACGCATTTAGTTCAGAACGAATCGTTTTGTGGAACATGGCACGTTCGGCTTCACGACAGATCTAGGCGCAAAACAGTTCAAGAGAGAGAGAGAGATTAGCGTGGAGAGATCAAGGCAAAGCAGCCGAAGGCGTGGACTCACTTGGTGCATAAATTTGACGGCGTCGTGGGGGTAGATGCCTTTGGATGTTTCAGAAGTGAGAATTAGACCGTCGGCGCCATCGAGTACAGCGTTGGCCACATCAGAGGCCTCGGCGCGTGTGGGTCGAGGTTTGTTGTACATTGATTCAAGCAGCTGAGCAATCACAAACACGGGTCTTCTCGCGACGTTGCAGTGTGCGATGATGTATTTTTGTAGTTTGAATATTTTCTCCGGAGGAAACTCCAAGCCCAAGGCCGCACGCGACACAACAATACCGTCAGCATGCTCAATTAATTCCGCCAGACTAGAAACGGGAAAGATTTGTTACAACATTTAATTCAGATTTACTTGCGGACTGATGCCTTGGTTTCGATGTTGGCAAAAACTTTAGTGCCAGTTGGAAGGCGGGACTTCGCGTCCAAAATCATTTGAGCATTGTCAGCGTAACTAGTGAAGACAAAATCGACGTTGCATTCAGCAGCAAAAGCTAAATCTTTGAGGTAACTGGCTTCGATGGATCGATGGTACAAACGCTCACGCGGCAAGATGACACGCTGGTATCCGGTAACCGGGCCTTAACACATAAAGCGAATTAATGAATACACTAACCTCCCTCTTCAACCAGACAGTTAATGTAATCCATTCCGATTTCTTTGACGATCATGCAAACAAGACCATCACCAAGGAAGATACGATCTCCCTTGTAAACGTTATGAATCATCTGAGGGAAGTTCGACGTGTCGATGAACATTCGTTCCTTAGTGCAGTCATTTCGAATGCTTTCATCCATCGTCAGCTGCACTTTGTCACCCTCATTAAACACTACCACTGATTTGGGTCCCTAGGCGAGTATATTCACAATTTTCACAATACCCCTTGAAAGAATCCTGTTCGGATGGATTCAACAGTCACATCCATTACAATAGCCACACAATGCTTGTAATTTGAAAGTTCTTCGAGTTTTCGAACAGTCTTTACGGCTTCGAGACACATTTCCCTCGAAAGCGTGTTTAAATTCAACCTCAACATGTTCATTCCATTATCAATCATCGTCTTGATACCCTCCGCTGAAAACCATGACGCACCTACCAGATATGCGTGAAGACGAATTTAAAAAATACCAAGAGAGCAGACAACGCTTGTAGCTCGAGGGAACTCAGCCACTTGGTCGATATCAAGCTGGCAGGCATGCCCAATACGAGAGCTGAGTTTTCCTTCCCAGCAACCTGAGCTGCCGAAAAGTATCTCATTAGAGGGACTATTATACATGGACGGCAATGCGATAAACTCCATGAGAGGCAAGGGGAGAAAACGAAGTGCGCGCAAACGTTTGAACCTTCAACTGGAAAGGTCGAATAATCCTTGGCCCACTTAAACTTGACAGGATGAAAGATAAAATCTAAATAAAATAAAAAAAAATGTTTTCCCATATAAGTAAATAATTCTTAAGATTCATGTGATTTTCCCCATTTCTTCTGATAGATATAATTACTTTATTTTTTGACGAATTAATTTCGACCTGAAATTATTTCTTCGAACATCAATATTATTACCATTATAAAACCAAAGAATGTAAAACATTCTTTGCTAAAATTGATTGCTTTGATTTAGACATATACAAACCACACTCGTAGGGTAGGTAAATGAATTGGGTTATGTAGATTTATGCGGGTTAAAGTTTCGGCCAAGTCCCAGACTAGCATATTTTGTTACCACAAATTAAAAGAATAATGGATATTTTACTTAATTACAATTTGCCTACTTATATAAAGTCAGTTTAATTTATTTTTGTACAGGAAATGTCATCAATTAATGACAACCCCGAAACAATCAAATAATAACTCATGCATTTTCTCATAAACTTGTATCAGTAAAGATTCCAACCTACAAAACCCATTCATGTTCATTTTAAATAATATCAAACTTTGCTTAAATTAGTAAATGTTGCATTTTTAGCTATTTCGCATCATTTTTTGACCAATTTTATCCTTATAAACATCAAACTCTTTCAACACATCCGAATCAATGACTATACGGATTGATCGAAAACTAATTCCCCTTTTCCAAGACAGCAAACAGCTTAAACAGCGTAAATATATATAACAAGTAAGGAGGCTCTTCGAGAGATGCACTTTAAAATGCAAGCGGTTATCAATTATAACCAGAACAGAAACAATGATTAGACCATGACAAACACTGCGCCAATTTTGAATATTGCTTCATTTGATTTCGGTTGGTCAAGTTTAAAACCTACCTACTCTTGAACTTTGCAGTGATTTTACAATGAACACGACTCATTATATGACATTGTGTTTATTATCATAGCGTTATCTGGCGATTAAACAAAGCCATGCTTATAACTATGTACTTAGAGCAAACTGCTTTAAAAACCTGCCCACGAATATAAGGCTACTATTTAGCTCTACTAACATCGCCTCAATCCCTACTAAGGACTTTCAAAATAATTAGCCCTTATCACGTTTGCTTTTTTCTGACAATGTGCTTAAAAATAAAGATAAATTTTAAAATAAAAGTTTAATATTTTTACGTTAAAATTACCAATTTGTGCCGGTGCTCCCTGAAATTTAACAACTTGCAACTGACTGAATGCAGTAATAAAACGATTTTGTCATAGACAATGTGGAATGTTTGAATGCCATAGCATGCTGTTTCCTTTTGAATGGGTGCGTTGATTGGACCTTTCCAAACGTTATAAATTACTAAATTCTCCAACATCCACCGATGGGCTCCTAAATTCGATTTCACTGACTATTTATCCAAAAAACAGTCGATAAAGTCAATTTTCTGCAAAAATTGCAGGAATCGTTTGTTCACCCAAAACGACCAAGACTGATCCATTGCGGTCAGTTTGTCTGCATCAAATCGATAAAATGGGCTGTGAAAATATGGTTATTATTATTATTATTATTATAGTGATCGTCAAGCCCTGATGGTGCTTTAAAATTACGCACATTTATTCCGACATTCGGTGCATGGGATTGGTCAACACGTGGCCACACTCGATGTCAGTGTTCAAATGTTACCCAAACGGCACAAATTAGACTAGTAATTATTTTGGACAGTTCCAGTATGCTTGGATGGGGAAAATTGTCAAAAAAAACATTTTTTTAAAAATTAGTAAGATGCTATTAGTGGATATCGATACATGCATTAACATGTTAACAGTGATCTACGTAAAGCAGCTTAACTGGTCAGTGTACGATTTTGATTAACAATTATTTTCTCCAAATTAATTTTGCAACACACCTGACTTCCAAGCCTATGAATAGAACGAGCACCAATACAGTGTCATATTTGAAGAGAATAAGTCCTACTACTCATGCTCATTATTCTACTGGCTATTTCGATTTGCCGGGACATCTGATGCAACCTTGAGCAGACCAATGGCGGATCAACTTGTCTGGATTATTCTAACAAATTTCAATGAATGTTTCATCTGCACTGCCAAAAATTTAATCGATAAATATGTGTTAGGGGGAGTGGTGAAGTGGAGGGAATCAAGACAGTTCGCATCGTGAGATCAATCTAATTTCCGCAAACCTAAAAACTGAAATTCGGAAGAGTTACAGCTGCAGTTTGAAATTCATCTAACCAACAAAGAACCAGTCCACTCAACTAACTGGCCGTGTCAGCATTTGTGGGGAGTACAAATGCACTTACCGTCTGCAGATTTGATCAACTACTTTCTCATTCAGGAAATTCGTCGCAAAGTGTGTAGTTGCCTCGCCAAGCCAAAAAATGGGGTTCATTTTACTGTTGGGTTAGTGGAAGCACGTAAACCGACTCATACACCTATCGATTTAAACAGCGTGACTCGTTTAAACAACCAAAAGTCGATTACATTGACCTTAAATCCAAACACGGGAAATCCTCACTTTGTTGTTGTGGCGTTTTAATGTTGGTTGTTGGTTGTTCTTGACCAGAGAACCACTCAGCCTATTCTCCCCCTTTGCCGGGTTTAATAATAGACGAGGGCCTCGTTGTGCGCCACCTGGCTCCGTTTGACAGGGAAAGGAGAAAATAATTATAGGGAGGCTTTTTGAATGGCCGTTGAACAACGCCCACTTTTGCTCTTTTCTGGTCTATTAACATCATTTTTTCGGTCAGACCTTAGTCCTTATGTGGTGCTGATTAATACGGCTTCCAAAGCAAGTTTCACGGATTAAAAATTCATTTGAACATCGAAAAGATGCGACTTATGACGACTACCAGACCTCCAGAAATTGGGTTGAATGATGAGCCAGTTAAAAGCGAGATTCCGCATCACGTGTGTCAGAGACAGACTCATTAACTGTGTGAAACACCTGAATCAACAAATCAATAATATTTATCGATTTTGCACTCGCCAGGACGTTGTGCCTCGTGGCGAATTCGTGTGTGCGATTAGAGCGTGAGAAGTTTGAACGTAGTTACCTGGGGACGTTAAAAGAATAACAAATTATCCACTTAAACAGCCGAATTTATTTTATTGTGATACAACAAAATCGGTACCTCTTTGAAAACAATTTCTCAATTTTTCATATTTGGCTCGATTGTTACAATGCTGGCTTTATCAGACGATTTAATTTATTGAAATTAATACAAAAACCGTTAGAACAATTAAATTTCCCAATAAAACATCTTTCTATAACCAACACTAAAACGGCATTAACGCCTGACACAACCCGCTGACTTAAAAAGTAAACTTAATTGATTGGCTTGTTCTAAATTTTAGTTTTGTGTACAAAAGCGGTGTATATATAAATGCGCACCTTCATCTGCATAACTGATTAAACACTCACTGTAAACAACCTTAATATGAAAACAAAGTAAAAGAAGCGCTTAGTAATAACAGAAGATCAACCAATGAGATCAATCTTCTGTGAAAATTGCAGGAATCGATTGTTTATCTAAAACGACCGACACTGACCAATCACAATCTGTCTGTCTGAATCATATCGACAAAATGGACTGTGAAGTCCCTCATTAGGGTTAAATACTTGATTGAAAGCGAGACCTTAGCAAGGACAGATTATCCTCCTGAAAGATGTCTAAATTAAGCTCACCAAGACAGATTAATGCATTGATTAACATTCATTTGCATCATCGACCGGCAAAAGTTCATAATAAAATTGGTATTCGTGTGAAAATCCGCTAACATGTGCAAGTAAAAGGTAGAGCGAGAGAGGATGGAATACGAGAGAAATAAATAAATGCCCATTGTCATTATCTGGCTAACTCACAAAAGCCCCTCACTGCCATTTGATGCATGTCTAATTAGAGGAGAAGAAGAATGTGTCTCCAGGGGATTAGACATCAAACTGGGTTAATTATACACAGATAGGCCAAAGAAATACAGATAGTTTAACTGTCGTGATGGCAATAATTTCTTCAAACACCGTCTGGTAGAGTTAAGTTTCAATCCCCTGTGATGGTGGTTGTGGTGGCGGATGTGGTGGTGGAGGACGTATCAGAGGAGGTGATGGCGGTGGTTGAAAATGACGAGGAAAGGGGGTAGGTGGTGGTGACTCAGACAAACTGCCTTTTTCCACCATTCTGGATGTGAATCTGTTCGGTGCCGTGGGAGGAAAGCAGGTGTGATATGGCCGAGAAAACGGCCGTCTGACGGCTGTCGTGAAGAGTTTTGACACATGCACTTACGAAAACATGGGGAAACCACTTCAGCGCTCTCAGTATTGTAAATACGTGTGGTGTAATCCCAGAGTATGAAGAATATCATAAAAACAAGCCCTGTTTCAACACGATGGGCATAAAATTGTGTTTGGCGGTCAATTAGACTCGAGTAGTTGGTCAAAAATCGATGCTCAAAATTTGAATTGAATTCAATTAATTTACATTCGGCGCCGGTAATTAGTGGCCAATGAGAGACGCCTATTCATCAAAGCAAGCTGTTTAAACAAATTTATTTGGTTTCAAAGTCAGGAGGCATCGTGACCTTGTGGATTCGATTCTAACACCAGACTTCCCGTAATTAACAAAATTAACAGCCTAGGTACACTTTTTGTGTTTAAACACCCAACCGAAACTGCCCGCGAAAAGCAAAAAGGTGTTTTTTTTGCAGCAATTTACAATGTCCAGGAACGGCAGCTGGTGCTGATGGTTCTGCCACAACGGGGGACCTTTAATCTCACGGTTCCGCCAGCAGCGGTGGCGTTTGGAAAAAAACACAGAAAAAACATTTTGCCTGGTTAAACCACTTGGGATATGGTACTAAAATAAGCATTTTTCAGTGAAAACTGCCAAACAAGAATAGCTCTTGCAGTTGCACAGAAGATGGAACCAAAGAAGCTTTTGAAACGACCTTCGGATTGTGTGTTTTATTGAAATCGTTCATAATTTGATAACGTCCCTCTTTAATAAATATTCCAGTGAACAGTTGGTGATTACGCAGAATGATGATGAGTGTGCCAAATGTCTTTGGACAAAACCCGAATGTTGATTGAAAATCAATAAACCACAGCCCAATCGTAATCGCTCGTTTGGTGCGCAGATAGTGTAACGTATAGTTACTCGGGATTTTGACTAGTTGCTGCCTTCGATAGGCAAAAACCAGCCACAAGCAATGCCTATTCAGACACCCAACGTACCACCAGTCACTGTTTTTTTCGTGATTCAGCGGTGTGAACATGCGAAAAACCACACTAAGCTGAGTTCACCATGTCCTGTAGCGCTTACGGTCTTTTTTCCCATCAAACACCACGGTAACCGCCATTTTTCCATCCGCCTTAATAGGGTCCATTTTTGTGTAATTACACACGTTCACACACACACACACACACACACACACACACACGAAGGAAGGTGTGCGTGTGTGTGGAAGCGTTTTTAAGGCTATTAGTGTTCGCAAACGCGCCCCAGTCTGACTAGAATGCACAAAAAATGGGGCAATGAAGGGTGAGAAAGAAACGCGCCGTTCTCCTAAAGTCTCACTTAATGTAAATTTGCAAGCAATGACATTTTGTGTAAGTTGAAGCAATTAAACAGGCGCAAGTGCTGTTTCACTGTGTGTACGTGTGTGTGTGTGCGAGCATGTAGACGCACGAGAAGGTTTTCTTCTTGGCCAGGAAGTGACTCACTGCAGAAATGTCTTCGACATTTATGCGGCTACAGGAGACGAGTGTTCGCTCAATGCTCTCATTATTCTTCAGGATGATCAATCTTGTTCTGCATTTTGCGGAAATAAATAACTGCTATTAGATCAAACGAGCGGTTTTTACTACCGACGTTTATGCGAAAATGTAAAAATTTAAACTACAATGTGGCAGCGCAAACCCGAGTGTTCGACGTTATGCAGTAGTTGGAAAAAATCAATAAAAATCGATCGCTCGCTGAATCAGTGGCTTCTCGTGACGCTGATTTTTGGTGCTCACTTGAAAGTGCGAAAAATGCATTGAATGGACTGAATTTCAATCAAATTTACTTTGGTTAATGCAACAGTTGCCAGACCTTCTGAAAACTTGTTTCACTGCTCGCAAATAAAGTTGAAAGTTCCTTACTGTCGTCAATACAAAAGGATCGCTGCGTCCCTGAAAAATTTCGGATTAATAGTCATTATTTGAAGGTTTCTTTTGATTTATTGATAATATCGCGCAAAACGTGCGTAAAGTAGTTGTTGGCTTGCACCCCTGGTACTGGATAATTTTCCTTCCCAAAAGGCCATTTATCCAAAAACCTTTTACCCCTCCTTGTGTCTTCTGACTTACGTAGTTTCGCGACCCGAATCCTGAATTAAGGAACTGAGGATAAAGGCTAATCTCACCACCTATTGGCCGGTAATTTCTCTCTTATCCAACACAATGGAATGGATCAAGAATATTGTTGATGTCGAGGTGGCTAGATGATTGAACTGAAATCTGAGCAACTGGTGATTGTCTCTTTAATCACCGTGACTGTCCAATAGTATCGTGATCTGTCACAGTGCATCTTAAACACCTCAAATTTGCCAATCGTTCATAAAAAACATCCCTGGATGTCCTAATGTATTTTAACAAATCCTTTAAGATTGTACTCTGCAATGAGAATAGATTATAGCTACCGTTTGGACTACTTGGTCGTAACGATTTCACCTGGACCTTGTGCACACACCAATTAGCGTGTTCAGTCACTTCCCGTGCCCTCTGATTGGCCAGTTTCATATTTCCTGCGCACCAATTGGACGCGTTGCCCCAGTGACGCTGTTTACGCATGCATGTGTGCGTGTGTGCAACTTATTTCCCAAGCCTGTGTGTTGGTGCTCGTGCTGTGTCCTACTGGGAATGATGGGCGAAATAAAATTGTCGAAATTAACCTTCCTTCGTATTCCCCTCTTTCCCCCCCTCCTCCTCCTCCTCCTCCACCTCATCCTCCATGTTAGAACGTCGAGCAGTTTTCTTCCTCCGTTCGCCTCGACGTTTGACGTCGTTGAAGAAAGCCCACAAGGAACAACCGTAGCCGGCGTCGCAGAATACCTTAATCGAATAGTACTTCTGAACGTTGAGATGCCTAATTCTACGACCTTCCAACTCATGGGGATGGACCCCTTAACCAAGTCCTTTGTGATAAATCCCAAGTCCGGCGAACTACGTATCGCCGCTCGTGTTGATCGTGAAATCATCTGCAAAGCTGAGGAGCAATCAGCAGCACGCAGAAAAGAACCGCCTGGAGATAGCGCCTGTCTACGACCACTGAATGTGCTCATAAAGTCTCAAGGAGCAGGTGGAGCCTCGGAGAGCAGTAGGCGTCAACAACTGACTCTCAGAATCGTCGACATCAACGACAATGCACCCAGGTGGCCTGGGAAAAGTGCCCTCGCGGTGAAATTCGTCGAAGCCTTCGACTCTCCGCCGTCATACGGCAAGCAGGAGGTGATCTCAGAGTCGAGAATTTTGGAGAGGGCCTTTGATCCCGACGCAGGTTCCAACGGCACCGTTTCCTACGCTCTCAAAGGCTCCGGCGCAGAGATGTTCCGACTGGAGAACGCTGACTCCGAAAACGGCCGCTTCGACCTCCACACATTCCACGACGCGTCGGCTCCACTGCGTCTGAGACCCGTGGTGCCGTTGGATCGGGAGGTGTTTGCCGTCTACAACCTCACTCTATTCGCCTTCGACTCCGGACAGCCTCAACTCTCCGGCAGCATTCCCTTGAATGTCTACGTAACCGATGTCAACGACCACGCCCCCGTCTTCCACACCTCGTCGTACGGACGCGATCACAAACAGGGCGACTTGGTGAAATACGTTCCGCCCCGAGGTCATCTCATGGAGACTGCGTCGGTTGGAAGCTTCGTTCTGCAGGTCAATGCAACCGATGATGACGCGGGGGAGAATGCTAGAATCAGCTATTCCATTGCCCCAAGCGATGCTGCCTTCGTACAGGCCTACTTCGTTCTTGATCCGATTTCCGGTCACCTCACTGTCAAACAGCGTCTGGATTACGATCATGGGCCACGTCGGTTCAATTTCAAAGTACGTCACAGTCAACTATTTTATTCAGCAAGCCATGAATACCCTCCATGACAAAATCCGACTTTTAGGTGTCGTAGACTAACCACAATCGAAGAGGGTTATTTTTTTTTTGAAACTGACTGCATCTGCTGCCAACATTTCGTTTAGTTGTCGGCGTACACTTGTCAGTCAGTTAGGTTAATCAACTTGAAAAACGGTCAAATGTCGTGCCGGTGATTCTTGTATCTGGGGTGAGAGGGGTGAGGGTTGAGCCAAAGAAGTCGACTAGTCTAGCCCCGGATGCAGACAACGGGCCTACTTGATGGTTAGGGATATCAAATCTCCCCTACCCTAAGACAATCTTCTTTTGAATGTGGAAGATGTAGTTGGTTGGTTAGAGGGAAAAAGCCCGCAAAATGTTCACCCGGGACTAGACGGAAAAAAGCGCAGGTAGATAGGTGGAAGAATTGTGACAGTCAGATGTGTATGTGTGTCTATTCGCCTAGTCACGAGTGATGCGAACTTCCCATGCATAACCGGTTGCACTTGGGTGCGATGCATTTGCATAATTAAATCCACGCCTAACCCATCACGAAATCGCACAACTGCCCTCAGCTTTGACCTCGCCGTAGTAACTAAGCTACAGTCTCCACAACCACAAAGCCCACCACCTAACTCGAATCGTTCCACTACAAAATAATGATTAATTCTCAAAAAAGGTTTCGTTTTTTTTTCTAATCAGCTGAGTAAAGGAGAGTGGGCTTGCAGAAACTTCGCCCAATCAAATTCTTCCAAAATCGATGAAACTTCCAATTGGATATCACTTTAAATTTACCAATCACAGTGCACCACGCAATCGATTGAGTTTAACTCCGCCGTAACCAAACCCCGATCAGACAAATTTGATTTTTTTGAAAGAGGAAAAAAATAAAGTTAAAATAAAGTTTAAATAAGTTCCATGATAGACAAAATACTGACTACACGACGGAATGGAAAAAAAAGTCCAGCAGTGGCTATTTCCTGTCCACTCCAACCGACACAAACACCCTTCCGGTTCTTTGCCTCAGCACAAACTGGTTTTTCCGGTGGGAGATTATTCATTCTCTCCCACTGTTAGTGGGATTGCGGCCAGGCTTCACAGCTGCAAGAAAATTTTTGTCCGGTAAGCCCAGATAACACAGAAAAGCAAACATCTGATTTTGCGGCTTCGTTCGCACGTTGTGTCAAAAATCGCGCGTTAGGTAATCCATAGTTAGAAGAAAAAAATTAGCCCTTTTTTCGGAGTCGAAATGAGCAAGTTTTGGTGAATTTTGCGTTCTATTTCACATGAGCGCACTGACTTGGTGATATTGCATGGGAGAATTTACGTAGACACTAGGTAATTTCGCGCCCCACAACACAGTTTTTAGTGTGGACGCTGAATTAGGTGGTGGCTTAGTTCATAAGAGAGTGGATAAAGTGCACATTTTTTGCACGTTCGCCTTCACTAAGGACATCGTAGATTTGCGCCAACTGTGGCTAGCGTTGGTTGGGAGCGGGTTCGACAGAATGGACACTGTCATAACCCACAACCTCAGTTACCCAAGCTTGTCATTCAATGCGCGGTTGATTAGCTAAGGGGACAAAAGACGCACGCTAGCACAGGCATCAGATATCGGCAGAAATTCCCCACACGCACCCACACACACTTGACCAATCAGTGGCAACTTTTTTGACGTGTGTATTTGCGTCTTTTTTCAAATGCCCTCCAATTGATAGAATTCTAGGGGGCTTGGGTGAGTGATGAATACGGGGGCAGGGGAGGGCTACAGCGGCTGGGCTTGCTGCCGCCGATAGCATCTCCTCCACATCGAAAGAGGTTTTGATACTCTTGGGGGGAGGGTGGAAAGGGACAGAGTGGGGAGGGGGAGGGTAGGAAATCGAAGCCCCATTTAGACGCTCTTCTCACTGGGGAAGTGCATTAAATTGGGCGAGATCGCTCTGGCGATAGCGTTGACTCGTTTTGCACCCGCCCTTGCTGGAGCAAAACGGCGCGGATGAAGGCAAATGTGTGTGCTTGCGTGTTTTCGGAGTCCTAAAAACCGCTCTAAGAGGATCTATCTCCTGCTCCCACCCCACCACCCCACAACCAATCGATTCGTAGCCTACTGACACCCATCGGTTTGTGCAAGATTGGTAACGAGGACAACCGTGTGTGTGTGTGCTGGGGAAGAGTGACCCAGTTTTGGACCTGGTGTGTGTGTGCATGCGTGTGTGCACCTGGCAAGTCCCAGATGGTTCTCCTAAAATCGACTGAATCACCACCTCGGACGGTCCCGGCGATGACTTCATTGTTACGGCGAATAGGTTCGGGACTTCACACGCACGTAGTCGACACACAGAAGCGCCCATTTCGATGATTACTCAAAAAACGAGCAGGTGACGTTGTCAAAGACTGCTCTTGTGACTCCGGCACTTCGACTGACAGTGCTACCACGCAAGTTTCAAGAATTAACTCAAAAATTCAAAGAGATGTCCCTCATTTTCCACAGCGATCAGCAAGCTTGCTAGGAATTCATGGTTTAAGAATTTCCGTTTTGGGCATTTTTCACTCGTTTTGGTCGACCAATCCGAATTGACGGTAACCAATTCAAGGTCACAATTGGGCAAATCAATACCTGCTATTTGCACTTCACGAGCAATGACATCGTTACCTTTGAGAAGCGAATTTTTACAAGCCTAAGCACTCGATCATGGTGTGTGTAAGCGTGACGCATCACTAGAGGTTAAACTGATTTCTGACTTGTGTTAAAATTGATCATTATGATGTGGATCAGAAGCGTCCTATAACCCAACAAGATGGCGCCCTTGATAACTAAGTATTCGCTCCATTTAATTAACGAGATCGGAAGGCCACAGGCATTAAAGCGCTTTAACGATGTCCTGACATGCTTCTGAATCGTCGTTCACGCAGCTTCATGATTGGCTGGAACCAGAGCATGGATTGAAGGCACTTACATAAATACGCCGTTTGTGGTAGAACAATTACGCACGGGAATTTAACCATTAAGATGTGAATTGTGAGAAAGAGTCCGTCCAGTTACTGGATCACAAAAGGTTACTTTATAGGTAGTATACCATTACACGCCTACTTACCGCTAACCCCCGATACAGATAATGGACACACACCATGACAACCCTTCCAACCACCGTCCTGACGGCAATTCGACCACCAACTTAGCTCGTATTTCCTGTTCTTCATTGGTCTGTTGGATTAACTCGAGCCCCCAAGTCGCTAAACCGGGTGGCGGAGGGGGTTAATTAATATTTAGTAAGTGGGGTCTGCAACGCGATGCAGCTTCCTTCACAAAAAAGGCACTGCCGGAGGTAGGTACATTACCTCGTACCCCTGTCCACCCCCCTTAGCCAAAGTGGGTTGTCCACAGGGCAACAGGAAGTGGACAGGGGCAGGCTGCACGCTAGTCACGGAACACTCGTTGCGTCTCGCTCTCTCCCTTGTGAATGATGTTGTCGGTGGTTACGTCGTTTCACCACCCCCTCCCGCCCCCTGCCCCTCAACTTACACACGAAAGGAGGTCTGTTGGTTTTTGTGCACTCCCCAGCCAGTGGCTTGTAGGTTAATTAGGTTACAAGTACACACACACACACGCGCCCTCTCTCTCTCCCTCGCCCGGTGGCATTTCGAGAGTGGATTTGCCCTTCTGACATTTAGCGGAGGAGAAGATGAGGGACGACTGGTCATCACCCCCTCGCCCGACACCCATGTGCACACGGACCACCGCGGGTACTAAAATTCGCCTTGTAGTTGCTTCCCAAGTGGGCATTTCTAACGCAGGCGTCTTAAAACACGAGGGGAACCAATTTAAACAAAGCGAAATTCAGTTTCTCTCCAATCTCTAATCGCCAATAATCCAAATCAGCTTTCATAAAGTCCCTCTAGGGTTTTCGTTATTGAAGCAGGTGACTTTAATGATGAAATTGGTTTTGTGTGAGGTTTCAGACGTTTAAAATTAAAAAAAACATCTTTTCTGAACAATAATTTGGATGTAATTAATTGATTACCTTGCCGAAATTACTGACCTTCCAACTACCAATAGCCGTCTGCCGGTGCCTAACACGACCTTGAACTGACCAATAGAGTGTCACACACGTCTTCTTTCATCCAATCAGGTGATCGCAGTCGACGGCGCTCTCGAGCCCTATCGTCTGACGGGGACAGCGATTGTGGACATTGAATTGACCGACGTAAACGACGAGAAACCGAGCATAGAAATTCTCATCGCCCAAAACGACGTCCACAACCACGGCGTAATGCCTCAGGTCGCCAGACAGCAGGAACTCGTGGCGTACATCGAGGAGACGCCTTCGCCAGACATCGTTGTTGCCTACGTGCAGGTACGGTAAATTTCTGTTAAAAAACCCCAATATATGCTGTAGATTTGATGGTTAACTAAGGAGGGGAAGTCTTCTGTGGTCCGCCGAAGTAGTCTGTCTCAAAAGCGGTCTTGTGCTGGCGTCATTGAGGTGTGTGTGGACACACGGATTGCATCCGAGCTTTCAGCGATGATGCCTCTCTTTAAATTCACGAGTTTGGAAGGTGCATAAGGCCAATTTTTCAGTGATATTACTCGTAGGAGCGAGAGGAATCCCTTGATCGACCGCCACGTTTGAAAAGCGACCTTGACTCGAGGTGACCGGCCTATCGTTAGGTGGAAAACCGGGCCTTTTAAACACCGCCTAGTTCATGCACCAAGGAAGCGTGTGAAAGCGCTAGGAACGATGAAAGGATAAGGCATTAACCCATACCCGTTTCTCACAGTCACCGTCCACGGGCATGGGGGTGGGTGGGGAGCGTGGGTTCACGAAAAACTCGCCTCGTGTCCGCTGAGGCGGTAGTCGAGGGGGCTTTTTGCGGGCGGAAGGCACGCACGCACGCACACAAACACACGCACATGTGTGTGTGGTTGCCCACTCGCCGCAGGTGTTTTTTCTCTCATCTTTCCGTTCTCTCCTTCCCGTGTTTTTCTGCAACACACACCCACACACACTACTGAAATGCTACACCCTAACGAACTTGCCAGGTTGAGGGAGCGAGAGAGCTACCGATAATGCTTGCACCAGGCCGCGTTGCTCCAACGCAAAACTACATGTTTGCAGGGTTGACAAGCGTTCCTTTTACCAAGCCAGTGAATTCGGTCGTGTCTGGTAGGATGACTTGACAGGCCCGTATATACAGACTGCTGACTCATTGGCTAATTAATTTACCCCATGGCAACGTGACAGCACAAGCTGTCCCGGTGTGTCGTCTACCTCTTGTTTGAGCGTGTGTGACAGGCCAATTAATGACCTCGAATTGAGGGATTTTAAGTGTGCAGCTATTCATCCATACAGAGAAAGGCTCTTAAACGACTCCGATTACTGTTTTGTGCCAAGTTAAAATCATGAAAATGACTGACGTGATTCGCTAGCGTAGCAAATTGAAACACACTAAAAAATTCAAGGCTGCTTCTCCATTGGCCACTCTATCGTGTTTAAGTCACAAATCACCTCAACTAGCTTTAATGGAGTTCGCCTAGTACAGCCCGAATTCAAAGAACTAACCGTCCTCCGCTTGTCAGTGAAAAAAACATGGGACATTTTGCTTGTCCATTTCCGTGTTCCCTACTCTCAAAAGTAAAAATCGTCTCCTCGCTTTTTTTTACCAAAGCGAAACCAAACGGAGCCTGGTAGTTGTAGGGCGTACAAGTTTTGAACGGGACGAACAGGCAGACAAACTCTTAGTTCGGAGACCTGGAATCAGTGTTACCTGCCTACTTCAAGTCTTGCTGATGTAAATGTCACCCACTGCGATAACCACCAAATAAAGGCTGAATTTAAACAAGTTCAAATCGTCGAATCGTGAGCGCAGCTTGCTCCCTCCCTCCCCCTCTCTCTCTCACGATGCAAGCAAGCAAGCAGGCAGGCCAATCGTCACACTCACCTTACCAAACTTTTTCTCGCGAAATAACAATACCGTGGACATGCAGAATGGGCTGGGCCTGCGCCTTTTACCGTCGTCATGGTAACTCCAGTGCCCACTCATTGTTAAGACCCGTTTGCCCCTAGTCGTCTCGGTTGATAAATGGTACAAACGCAGCATCGAGATGGTGGACATGTACGTAGTGTGTGTGTGTTTTTAGAAATGTCGGCAAAATTTACCGCCTTTGCAAGCAACAAACTGATGAGGCGGCTCAAGCAAATGCATTAATCGGTGAGGAAGTTTGTTTAAATTAAGTAGCTGGCATGTCAAATTTAAGGGGAAGGTGTTGGAGCCGGGACAGACGCCCTTTAGACCGGTCAAAATTGGTTTTATCGACTTCAAAATGGCAACTTTGCACTGGACGATGTTCCGACATTGACAGTGACTTCATCCGTGATTTAGTAAAGACAGAAAGGGAACTTTTCCTAAACCAAATCTTAACATGATGTCAACTTGCAGCAGCCAATGAAATTATCGGTTTGTGTCTGGTTGGGGGGGGGGTTGCACCAATCACAGTTTGCTTGACCTTGCCTTTCTTTAAAAAAAACAACACACACTTTTTCAAAAACTCGTCAAAACGAAACTTATATGAAATGATAAAGAGCAAAATTGTGATTTATTAACACTATTTTTTTTGCATAAAAATGCGTTAACTCTAATTTGGTTTCAAAAACAGAATAGAGTAAGTCGGTGTGAGAAACGTCTCAATGTCAAGAAACGTAATAAAAATCGCCGCTTTTACGTGTTTACATTGAACCGGGTTCGTTGTTGTTGTTGACGCATATTCTAAACAAATATCTGGTTGATCGATTTTCCGCTCGATTTGCAGGTGTGTGATGCAGATGAAAACGGAGAAGACCATGTCAGCTGTCACCTAGGCGCCCGCGATAATTTTACCCTGCAAGCCGAGTCGCTCTCTCAGGGTCCGAAATCCGACCATTTCGGTTTCGACGGTGGCGCCATAAGCGATCATTCAAACAAAAAAGTCAGCGAATATCGAATTCTGGCGAAGGTTCCCGCGTCCGCCGCGCTCGTCGACCAGCACAACTCCAACTTGCAGGGCTACCTGGACCGCGAGACCACGCCGAGCCAACTCCTCACGGTGACGTGTATGGACCGCGCTGGGAACGAGGCCAAGCGACAAATTCGTGTGCACCTACTGGACGTCAACGACAACGCGCCGCGCTTTGTTAACAACAGTCATTTCAACTTCTCGGTGGCCGAAAACCGCGAGCCAATGGGCAGCCAGCAGATCTGGTTGGGTCGAGTGCACGCTGTCGACCCGGATGTGGGCGAGAATGCGCGCGTCAGTTACCACCTCGCCTCCGATCAGCACCACGATATCCGTTTTTCGGCCAGTCATCAGCAGCTGTTTCGTGTGGACGCCGACACGGGCGATGTGTACGCCCAGGTTAGCCTGGACCGCGAGAACGCGCCAGACAACGGCGTCTACACGATGTTCGTGCTGGCTGTTGATCATGGCACGTCGAAACAGCTGACGGGGACAGCGCGAGTTGACGTGAGCGTGTTGGACGTGAACGACTGGGCCCCGGAATTCACGCGAGACATCTACACCTTCGTGGTGTCGGAGGATGTTGAACTGCGCGAAGTCATCGGTACGGTGGAGGCGGTGGATAAGGACGCGACAGCCGGTCCAAACACCATCACGTACCACCTGAATATTCCACGACCGGGGCTCGTGAAGCGCTCTCTGAAGAACGACACCACGGCTCGAGTTAAACGGGACACCCTGAGCCATCAGCAGCAACAGCAGCAGCCACTGTTCATGCCGCATCTGGAACCTTCAAAGATGCGGGACGACCGTCCTCTTTCCTACTTCTCCATCGACAGTCGTACCGGCGAGATCCATGTGATTCGGAAACTCGACAGGGAGGCGAACGGGTACTTCACCTTCGAGGTGCTTGCAATTGACTCGCCACTAGCTGAGTCGTCCCTGACACCACCACCACCGCCATCGCCACAGCAGCCCCCTTCCAGACGCGGTGCTAGAGGCGAGACGTTCACCGCGACGGCCACCGTTGTCGTGACGCTGACGGACGTGAATGACAACGCGCCGGAATTTCGCTATCCCACCACCTCAATCCTGCTGCACATGGCGCTTGGCGAGACTTTGGGCCACAAGATCCTCACGGTGCAGGCCATGGACAGGGATGACGGTGAGAACGCGAGGATCTCCTACAGCATCCGCTCCGAAATCCCCGTCCCGCCGGATGGGCCTGGTACCGGCAACTTTGCCATCGACGAAACGAGTGGTCTCGTCTTCCTCACCAGGTAGGCAATGCTAAGCTTTGCAACGTCCTTACCACCACCCGCTTTGTCATGTCTTAATGCAGTTTCTGCAGTTTGTGACTGTCAAGAGCAGCTAAGCAGGTAATTTGACGTCGAGGAGGCAGGTATGTCAGCTGAAAACGAAAGTGACGTCTGGCATTGTCTCGCAGTAATGACTGACAACAAGTGCGAGGAAACAGACAATCTTTGTGTGTCCGGCAACTGGCATTCTGGGATTATTTATCGTATCTACAGTTGGTTAATTGCCCGTGGCACTTCTGAATGACCTAAGTGTGGCAGGCACCCAAACTTTCACAGAATTTTCGACATTGTAGGGTACCGATTCATCAACCAGTTCTCCGCCTATTCAAAAAGACGTTTGACACTGTTTTCGCGCATAAACTAATTTATCAATGACAAGTCGTTTGTTTTTATCGCCTAACAAGCATCCCTCCGACTCTGCCTCCACCTTTTTAGGAAATATTTCAGCTTTTTTACACGTGTGTAAGCTCTCAGGCTAGTTAAGGAAAGGGTTTTGCGGTTTGGTGTTTTCACACAAAAGCCAATTTACCGATTACATTCACGTGTGGCCACTTCCTTGTGTGTGTGTGTGTGTGTGAGCGCTCAGGCTAGTTCTCGCCAGTGGTCTGTAATTTGGTTAACGACTTTGAAAAAAAACACACATAGCCATCCCGGGCAATACCACCACCCACCTCCTGAACTGGGTTGTTGGTGACTGCGAACGCGTGTAGTACAAATTCCCAGCACCAAAACAACCAAATATGTTGGCAGTGGCACAATGAAAGACATCCAGTGCGCCTGCGCCGCAAACGTGACCGTGTCGAATCGGGAATGCCCAGCAAGATTACACGCTGCGAGTTAGTCCAACGACCAGCATGCAAATCGATCGTAACACAGAAAACCAAGTCGGGCGTTTTCGAAAAGATTAAAAAGCCAGATGAGCGTCGTGCGGGGACATGAGATAGTGCCGATTGTGCAAAGTTGAATAACCTCACTCCGGTTCTACCAGTCACAGCTGACTATTACAAAGTTAGGGTCACAATTATATTGATTTGTGTTCCCGCTTCGAACCCAACGAAGTCGCCACATGCAGGGAAGGAGTTATCGCAAGGGACACGAACTGGGTCGTGTTCAGTAGCAGGAATGGAAGCAAATGATCACCAACCAGGAAAACCTATAACCATATCCAACTTGTATAAAAAACCGGTCACGTTGTAGACCCGTTCAAGGACCAGTCAACCATCGCATCGTGGTTGAAGCGTGCGACCACGGCGAGGTGCCAAAATGCACTGCCTCGCCAGGCATCCAGATTGCGGTGTCGGAGGACGCCAAATTAATTGGTGGGGGTCAGCAACGCGACCGCAATGGCGTGCTGCCAAACAGCGTCTCGGTGTCGACGTTGGAGAGCGGTGCGGATCACCGGTTCGGCTACGAGGCCTTGTACGGCCTCAATGGTGGGCTCTACGACCAGACGGCGCCACATCGAGTCGAGGTGATTGCCGCCTGCTTGGTGGTGGTGTTCGGTGTCCTCCTGCTTGCCGCTGTGGTCCTCGCGTGCTTGTTGAAGAAGAAGAAGCCTGGAAGTGCTGGTGGCATGGAGAGCGGCAACGCCGGCTACGTGTGCACCACCCTGTGGGGCTGCCAGTGGCCGTTCTTCAAGCCACACAGCGGCGCCTCGAAGCAGACTGCGCAGCACTACGTGTCGTCGCAGGCCACCGGCAATATCCACCGTTTCTCCGACGCCCAGAGTATTGAGTCGTCCCTGGCTAAGGGTACGTGCGCTGCTCTTTGTGCGGATTATTACCACCACCACCACCACCGCCACCTCCCCCACCACCACTAGCACCAACACCACTACCACCATGACCGCCATGACCACCATCACCACCACCAACACCACCACCATGTCCTCTTTAACTACCAACTTCACCAAATTCATACCCTCGTTCTCTACTGCCACATCCCTCTCCTTCGACACTACCTCCTCCACCACCTTATTCACCACAATCACTTCTTCCTCCACTACCTATTCTCCCCATAAACCACCTCCTTTACCACAACCACCCCCTTCCCCCCACCACCACCCTCTCCTCCTCCACCACTGCCTTCTTCACCGAATCATCTCCCCCTCCAACACCACCACCTTACGCCGTGTCCTCTCCCCTCCCGTAGGCATGCTCTCGGCTGACTCTATCACCAACACATTGGATGCTCATGCGGACGAAGAGAAGAAACCACTATACTACGACGTAAGTCTGCCTACAAATCCCTTCAAATCCACGCAATTTGGCATTAGTGCACCCTAATTAGGCCTCAGAGAGGATATTTGTGCATCTGTGGTCATATTTTCACAAAAAGTCGAAATCGCTATGTTGCCATGGAACGAATTTACCAAAAATGGAGATCTCCAGCACCAGATCCACAGTTTCGACTAAATCGAGTTAGCAGAAGAGGCGTATGGAAATTAGCACGCTCACCTCTTGTTGAAGCAGTCTGTAGAAGGAGCTCTAAATCGCTAAAATGATACCAATTTAGGCAATTAAATTTGGAGTGGTGTTATCTAACTGTACCAACATTTGTACCAATCAGGACATTAAATACCCTTTCTTAGAACGTCTGTATTTGCATGCGGTGGTGTGTGTAGGCGTTTAATTACTGCTAGACGCCCATTGCTACAGCCCACTATAAGTAACATTTTGTGGGCCGGTTAGCGCAAGGCCGGAGGCTGGTGACGTTCAATTTAAACTGGAGGCTCGGGGATGTCTAAATTTGTCGCATTTTCCACTTTTGTGACCCGCAAACGTGACTGAGTAAACCACCACAACAGGAACATTCATCTGATTGGTCAAAAATGTTAGTGCCTTGAGGTGATTGGTAGAATTGGGGTCATCAAAAAACCGCCCCTCTTTACATTAAAAGTTGCGAAATGAGGCGCGCGCACATTGTAAAACAAATCCTCACTGAGACAAACCATCGAAAATCAATGGCGTCGAGAGTCATAGCCCCTAGAAATCCTCGTCAAATTCTGGCGATAAGGAGAGAGCAATTTCGGTGTAGTGCGAGCGTGTGTGAGTGTGTATTCCCACGAGGGAGGGTAATCTATCCTCACGTCCATAATTAATAGGGCTCTAGTCCCACATGTTGTCTGATCAGAAGGCATGGACGTATGTCCCACTAAATTAGGGATTAGTAAGAAGCGAGAGTTCTGATTGGTCACAAATCCACCAATCAGAATCGACCCACATGTCTAGCTTGGTGTTCTTCCTCACAGGGACTCGGGATGCTGGTTCCGGAGAACCTGGGACCACGTGGAGATGGTCGCGCCCACATGATGACCACGTCACCCGCTGGTGTACCCTTCTCACGACGCATAAGGCACCCCATTTCCTATACCACGGCGACAGGGGTCATGCCGCAGACCGTGGTGTTTTCGGGGAATGCGACAATGAGCGGGCATCCGGGGCAAAAGGTGTACGGCACGCTGCCGGTGGTCTCAACAATCATTTCCGACCCGCACGGAGCCAACAACACCCTGCTGGCCAGATCGGGTTTCCATGCTCACCACCAGACCGTCGTCAGACCAACCAAATTTGTGGGTGAGTTGGGGGGTGCGGGTGATTGAGGGCTAACAACTGTTTCCACGAATACTCAAACGGGTTTACTTGTGACCTGTAGGCGGCATGCCACAACCAACGACGCCGCCTTCACCGGATTACCAGAGTCTGGACCAGCTGGCAAGCCAGATGCGAAGTGGCCGGAACGAGGTGTGGCAGAATCAGCCAGCGATGGAGCTGTTCACGTCCCCACCACCACCACCACCGCCACCGTCCGGGAAACCATCCAAGCAGTCCTCCAGTTACGGCTGTCTGGCTGATCCAGTCGAGGCGGCGGGCAGGCGTCAGCGTCCAACGCACAACTACTACGAGATAAATCCGCTTAGCGCGGCCGAAGACAAATTGCCGATTCGTGCTGGCAGCCAGAAACGCTACCAACGCAGCTCCACCCTCGGTCGTTTGGCCGTGATGGACGAGAATGGCGCCTCCCCTGACGCCGACTTCATGCACCACTCATCGGCGGGGGTGTTGTCGACTGCGAATAACGCCAACAGTCGCTCGTACTCCCAGTTGCAGGCTACCAGCTGTTTGGACGATGGTGGTGACTGCGACAAACCCACGCGGTACACCTACCAGGCGATTAGAGAGGCCAGTTTTGTGTGAAGTCCAGTCAAGCCCGCGATCTTGCGGACCACCGTCATTTACCCCTAACCCCACTCAAGCACTTGTACATATGTTATTATAATTCGCGTACATTCAATTGCTCGGTTCTCTTGTAACTTTTTCCTCATTTCTTGTTTAAATATATCCTATGCGTTCTTTATTACTTGCAATTTGTTCGACCAATCAAACTTAAGAGCACGTATGTTTATCTGATTGGTCCAGATGCCGATGCCCCGAGATGATTGGCGGAATTCCGGTCATTGAGCATCACTAGGACTAATTTGAGTAGTTTCATAGAACAGAGCAAAGTTATTAAACGCTCTGATCGAAAATGAGCAGCGGACAAGAACACCAATGGGTGGTAGGTTGTGTCTCGGTGTACGATCGATTATCAGCGTTATTCGTAGTCACCGGCACGTCCGCTGACGAGTGGTGCATAAAGCCGGAGTTATTTTCGAGCACAAAATCAGACAAGACTGGACGCGCATGCGGTAGATCTGTTCCGTTGTTTTAGCCCAGCAGAAACAGCGATTGCATTAGCGAAAAGGGCACATTGCGGTTTGCGGGAAGAATAATTTTTCCGGGTTTGTAGGATGCTATGCGGTTGCCGTCTCTGCATCGCTAAAACATCAACCAAGTGACATTTAGGCAAGATCTACCACACACGCACAGTCTCGTTCCGTCTGGTCGATGTGCGTTTTGCCTGCTGCAGCTGAAATCACCTGCTCGTTTTTCAGCCAAATTTGACCGCACCTACTACGCACTCTTCAACTATTTCATGCGAATTAAACTCAAATTAAATAGTGATTAATCAGACATACAACACTAGTAGTGTTCATCTAAGTGCCCTCGAAGTAGATTCCTGCGAAACTCGGTGACCATTCGTCAAAATCTTGATCCTTAGATCGGATCAATCTTCACAATGTGTCGAGGGAGGGCATATCACAGGGCTAGTAACTCCTACAACTCTTCAGACTAACTGACAACTTAAGCTCTCTTGCTTTTCTCCTTCTCACATCCCTCCTTACGCTGTTTTAATAGATTTCCCCACCACGAATAGCAACAGTCGACACTCGCTCTACACTCAGGAGACAGACGCGAGCGAAGATAATATTACCGATGGGTTTATTCACTGTTGATTAACAAACAACCAAAAACAGCCAATCAAAACGCCGCGTCCCATCCCCCTGGTCACAGAATGCCCTGCTGGCGCTCAGCAAGCAAATGAGGCAGGCCAACAACCTCCGCGTCCTCAGGATCTACAAGGTAAGAAGAGGAGGAGGAGAAGGGTGGGGGAGAAAGAGGACACGGTGATTGGGATCTATCACGTGCTCCCAACCCTGGTTATGATAATTAAGAGTGGCATTGAGCGAGCCTACGGCCGTTAATCGAGTGCAGGCGTGGCAAACCGACCGACGCCAAGTCGGGATTCAAGCTGGGGTGGACAGCATGTCAAACTGTTGAGCGCCTTCTTGCTTTCATGGGCTTTCACTGCTGCGCTGTACCTGACGCGAAAACCCTATCCAAGATGTCGAAATCCACGGTAGTGTTGCATGGACTCAAACCCGGAAAACAGCAGCCAGGTGTCTACCCACAAGACACGCTACAACTCTTCCACCGAACCCCAGTGCGACGTCGTAGCCAATCCGAAAACCAGCGTCTTCGTGCAGCAACACGCAGCCAAAGGGCACTGGTTGCGCTGGGGCAATTACTTTCACGCGAAAATCCATCCCACCTTGACAGATCACAGCCGACTGATAGAGCAATCACTCCCCCCCCCACACACACACACACAACGCTTTCGGAGATAGAGAGAGAGGAGGGGGGTGGAGTGGGTGTGGGGGGAGAGGGGAGTGAGAAAGAGCTTTGTGGTAGGCACATCCACACACACACACCACACCGCAGACCGAGTCATTAGACAAATTACCTTCCCCGAAAAGATTAAGGCCGCCGATAATGCGAGTCGCTACTATGAGCAAAGCAGAATTAAACACCAAAAATCGCTCGAAATTCTACACCAGGAAACGTTGTCCTCCCAAGCCAGAAATTTTTTCGTGTGTCAAGTGGCAGTGTAAATAAAGTTAACTGCGCAAATACAGTGCTCTCGTACAACCACGCAAAGCGAAATTTAATACGTAAACAAAAAACCACAACAGTTGCAAACAACAAGTTACACAAGTGACGGTAACAAGCTGATTGCTTAGTCGCGGTTCAAATGACCTCAACCTCTAGCCAATAAGCTCGTTGACAGCGTCTACCCAACCAATCGATAATCTGTGTAATCTATCGGAAAACTGATGCATCACATTCCTACTGAATTAAAATTGAGTAGGCAAGAACTTACTATTGAGAATGTCACAGAAATCGATAGTGTCGAGAGCGCCATTGAGCTGGGCAGCCAATGGATGGTGGCTATAGAGACCGGGCAGGTGGGGTGTCATGCGCTGGAGCACGCGTTCCTCCATCGCCAGTCGAAGGGGCGCGTGGATACCCTGGGTGGTGCGGAGGATACGCATGTCCTGCGCGCGTTGTGCCTCGGCACCGCGTTGAAACTCGGCGGCAGCAGCGGGATGCGGAAACACGCCAGTCTTGGCTGGCGGCTCTGTCGCCAAGGCCTTGTTACCCGCCAACCTGAAGTTCAAAACAATAGCCTACTGAATGCATTTGAGTAGCATAGATTTGTACTGAAGTTAAAGTCGGAACGTACCCCGTGTACAGCGCCGGCACCACACCAAACTCGTCCCTGAGTTTCAAATCTTTGAATGACTCCTTACAAAAAAAAGCAGTGGGTGAGGACATGATCTCGCATAAATTTACACAAAGAAAGCCAATTTTACAAATATGAGGTTTATTAGTAGCAAAACACAAGCCTACATAATCATATACATTAGGTAAAATGCAAACGCGACGTTGATGATGATGACGGGATGAAGTGAAAGACTGTCGGCACACTGGTCGACCCAGCTGTCAAAGGTCACACTAAGCCCTCCTTCGACACCGCTTCGCCCTCCTTCGGTGGCTGCATGACCTTCACGAGAACTGGTTGGCGCGTCAACTGACCGGGGATTTGAAAAACATGCACTGGTGTCGTCGGCGGAACGTTCACAACCACTGGGACAGTTGGAGGCTGGACCGGGGCGATGGCAGGAGACGCTTTAGCCGGTGGATTGCCGGGTTTGGGGGTTAGATTCACACCAATATGGTGGAATATGAATCGTTTGAGATCATCATTTTCCTGTTGGCAGAGCGCATACTTCATCTGAACTCAACGAAGGGGAAAAAAGTGAACCAAATGAGTTGTGCGAGGGAGGGAGGTGATTAGACACGAGGCAATCTCCGCTAACCTTGAGCTCTTTATAATTATGCTCCAATTGTTGAATGTAGTTTTTCTTCTTCGCTCGGCATTTTCGCGCGGCTTCACGATTCTTACACCGCAGCTCGGACAGGTGGACGTCGTTGGGGCGGTTAACATCCTTCAAGGACGGCTTAATTGCCAGAGGTCGAGCAGGCGGAGGAGTTGATGAAGACGACGAGGCAGGCTGGATGGTTCCTTGACTGGAGCAATTGCTGCTTTCAGGGCTCGAAGAGGTGGGTGCAGAGAAGGCCACGTCATTTCCGGACACCTGGCGACTTCTACGCTCATCCATCGCCATCTGAATTCGACAGTCTGTGAACATGAAGCTTCCGGGTGGTAGGGTAGCAGAGAGCACGTACGGATTGTTCTGCAGAAATGACAACTCCGATGAAAGTGTAGTGAGGTAAGGCTTTTGGCTGGTGTCGGCCGACGTTGCTGAGACAATGTCGCCATCGGTAGTGCCATTTCCGTGGAAGGAGATGAATCGAGCAAAAGACAACCCGGATTGGAATTTAGTGTTTCGCAAACCGACGGATTCGTCGTCTTTAAGAATAACGGTGGCGTCGGAATCGCTATCACAGGAGTCTTCGTTTGCGAGGGGAAGCGGACTATTCGGTCGTAACTCCGTCATGCTGCATAGACTAAGGCCTAGGACAGCAAAAATGCGCCTGTGTGGCTCGTGAAGAGACGCGTGCAAGTAATCACGTAAAAATGATGGGGTGAAAAAATCCAAATTGTGCACTCACAGTACGTCGCTCAGGCACATCAAGTATTTAAAGTGATGAAATAAACAGTGTGAGGACAATTTCCATGCAAAAACATACACCCTGTATTCGGGAAATAAACAAATATCATTATATTCTCAAATGTCCACTTACATTCAGGTTCAACGATCGAAAAGGAACCTAATAAAATACTTAAACGGCACCTACGAAACGTCAGGAATCCACAATAGCTTCTGTGCATCCTTACTAGACATAAGAAAACTGTTTTGAGTTCAATAATTTGATTTCTGTTAACTTTTTAGGTTGTAACCTTGGTTGTCTGATTTGGCAATCTGCCACATGCAACAAAAAACGAAGCGCATGTGTGAAAAGTGGATACCAAGACTAAAAACGGTGGCCTTTCAGTTTCCCTTGGTTTACTGTGTCTGCGAAGGGTGAGTTTTGGACTAATCATGCAGGAGACAACTTTAGAAGGGCAAAATAAGCGCATGATCGGGCAAACTAAAGGCGACATGTTTTCACCGAAAGTATCGGGCAAAAAAGTGGATTATAAGCCCGACGAGATGGAATAAACATTAAGAGAATGCGCATACAGAAGTACACAACTCAGCAAGGAACCACTTCGGTGCCCCACATGGGCGCTGACATGTTGGATCACGCAAAGTTCAGCCACCCCTATGTCTGGGTTCATTTAAATGGCCCATGTTAATGATAAACAGCCAACCAGAGGCAATAACGAGAGGCTTTACGCAATGGGCGGTGAAGACAGAATTAAGGATGGGGATAGTCGGCGGCTGATGGACGGTTTTTGGCTTGAGATTAATCGATAAAGACTGATCTAATGTTCCTGTCCACTTCATACTAGGGCTCGAGTGTTCAACACCCCCGAACGAGAGTTGACTAAAACATGAACAATTTCGATAATTTTGCCATTTTTTATAAATTTGTCATAGCTAATTTTTGATTCGTATTCCTTAACTAAACCTGTTATAAAAGAGTAGATATTTGGTGCCTATAAATATTTAGTAATGAGATTTTATAAATCAGAATCACGACTGAAATTATGAACCAACTAGAATTGTTATGAAGAGTTATTTGCTGATGTTAAGATTTCTTACAGGGTTTCGAAGAAAAAGTAAATTGGTCTAAATTTTTTAATCATCTCATCATATAATGGCAGTTCCATAGCTCGCTAAATATAATCTGAATCGTTAATTATTTTATTCGCAAATCCTGGGCGCAGAAGGTAGCCATGTCCCATAGTGAAAGATATTACAAATAATATTTTTTTGGCATTTAAAAGTTAGAACTAAATTCATTTTTAAAGTAAACCGTAAACCGGCGCGTCCGTTTGTAGTAGGTCTGGATCCGGCTAGTCACTTTGTTCTCGTCAAGCCAAAAGATGTTCTAGTTGAACAAAGACAAAAGAGAGGATTTCTTTCTTTTTCAGGGTTCTGTATTTCAAGCTCACAAAAAATCGCACACATGTAGCCAACACGCTGCACAATTTAACCCCACTTGGTTACAAACCAGAACAAATTTCCCCAAATCCAACGTGTTTGTCTTCAAAAACACCATCACGTTGTTTTCGGTGGTTTAGACTGTCTCAAAGCAAAAAGCATTTGTTACCATGTGCGCGATTCAGAGGCAGCTATTTAGCACCTTATTAATGCAACGAACACAGTTGATTTTGAGAAAAAATCTGGAAAGCTGAGTTTTTTTGTGCCTAAGCTTAAAAGGTAAATCATCTTTGATAGAAAATAATTAACAGCTACTCAGGTTGACCAATATCTGGTCAAGATTTATGACCCTCTACTTGATTCTTTCGTGTTAATCAAAAAAGCACTTGTCCACTGCATTGGAGTTTAGTGTGCCTTTTATTTCCGTAGCATCGTCAAAATCATTTAATAACAAAATGATATTTTTTTGGTGACCTTTAATGTAGAATTTCATACCTATAAAAGATGCTCAAAACCTAGTGTACAAACTTTTATCATAAATTTGTTGAGTTTAAAGGTAGTTATCACCCATTAATCATTAAAGTTACCCAACTTAAACAATTATTGTATATAAACATTTATTTGCTCCACAAAATCATTTAAGATTGCATCTATAACGTTTTGCCGGTAATCAGAAACACTCTCAGAAAATCGGTACCCCAGATCCCCTACCTGGACACTACATTTCCACGCAGATATAAGACAAACAAGATCTCGGACAAGAGCTTAAACTGACTCAGCCAAAGGACGAGTGATCGGTCGAATTGTGCCTACTCATTAAAGGGAAGGATAACCCTGAACTGATGGATCAAGTGGGATTAACTTCGATGGGACAGTCAGCAGCGTGCCGCAGATGACTCACTCACTTAATGGAGTCGTTATGACGATTGTGTAAACAAAGATGAAAAAGTCGACGTGTCATCTTGGGCAATAGGAATTGTATAAGAGTAAAGTTAGAGGAATAAAAAGAATACTCGAAAGTGTACACCACAGTTTTGTGTTATAAACCACCATAAAACTACTACCTTATTATCAAATATCGGGTCAGATTCTAGTGCAACGACCAAATATTCATCTAATGAAGCTACTCACATAACACTTACAAATTTACGATAAATTTTTTTTGTCAGCACTTTAAGATTGTTAGTAAACGTGTTTAACTGATTTGAGGAAACCGTTTTAGTTCAAGCCGAGTACAGCAAATTGTCTGACTCTAAGCATTTAAATGATATTAGCAGTCAACCGGAAACATAGGTTGTTAATAGGCTTTAACAAATGGTCGATGAATTAGAGAAGGAGGACTCGAATAGTCAATCGTCAGATGTGGCTTGTGGTTGATGCATAAGGGCCAAAATTATTTGTATGTATTTTATGATAAGAGGTTATTAGTGACTTACAAGCATTAAAAATTATAAAATGATGCATTTAGTTAGCACAAGAGCCGAAAATCAATATTAAACACAATTCTTTCAAAATGTCAATTTAAAACAAATTTATCCAGTTTATTGACGGTTGTGAGGACATGTGTATAAATAATTTGAATGTATCATTAGCTTAAAGAATGTGCATTTTGTTCTTCGTCACTAACACTCAACGAGAAGTTATAGTATCGTTAGATACTATAGAATTTGATTTCGTGCAAAACAACTTGCTAATTTTCGATGGCATGTTTCGCCCCATAAAATATTTCTGTGGCTTTCGCCGAAATATAAGTTCCATTTGCACCAGCAACGAGATTGGATATTCTGGTTAAACCATTAGTTTTCAGGAATAAAAACCTCCTGCTTGATAGGGTAGGCAGTTACCTAGAGTCAAAGTTGAACTATGATAGAATATCAGGCATTTTGTCCCAACTTGTAATTTTTTTGTATGTATCAAGCAAATATTTGATACTGTACGACAACTTCATCGTCTGAATACAACAACTAATGACTGTGTGCATTTTTGACTTGATCTATGATTAATACAATTTATCTTGCTCAGTTAGAATTAATGTTCCTTTGGCAACTAAACTTCAATTACAATAAAAATCATCAAACTTATCCGCTGATAATCACATGCTTGACATTTATAGAAGCATAGAGTTCATCTCAGATTAACTTGGGTACTACAGTGCTAAGATATTTCATCAAAAAGATAGAATTAAGTTTTTTAACACAAATCTATTGATTACATTAAAGAGGCCTTTTTGGATTCAATATAACTGTCACTTGAAAAATATTCCAGATCTGGGGAGTTGCCAAATTGGATTTTAGTAAATTCTTGCTTGATATTAGAAAATTTTTAGGTGTTGAATGCTTGACGAAGCTTTAGAAATTAAACTGTTAACTTTTTATTCATTATATTTGTTTTACATTGTAAAAGGACGTCGCGGATTTATTGTTTTCATCACATTTCTTTTGGTTAGTTTAGCGATGTCTCAGGCATTTTCTCGAGATCGATTGTACCAAATATTCCAACAGTAAAGTTTTTTCAGTTAACGTTTAGTGGTGTTGTAGGCTTGATGTAGACAGAAGCGGGTCTCTATCAGCGTCAGAAATTCAGAAAGCTCTTTCTAATGGGACGTGGAATCCATTTAATATAATGACTGTGCAAGCAATGATAGGTATGATTCTTTTTGAATTCACTTAATATTATAGATCTTTTTAGTACAAATCATTCCATGGAGATTAATTTCGACGAATTCCTTCGACTTTGGGCATTTGTCGAAAACTGGCAGCGATATTTCAAAGCCGTTGATCGTGATAATTCCGGATGCATTGATATTGGTGAATTGCAGGCAGCAATAACACAGGCGGGTACGCTTTAGTTACATTCATGAATTTTACTGTTCGTGGCTTTATTCCGATTAGGCGCTAACCGTGTTTCTTCGCTCCCCATAACGTATCGTATATAGTTTGTCGTGTTTAAAATAGTACAATAGTCTACTTGGTGAATGAAAAAAGTAGCAATTCTAATGTTAGGGAATCTACGTCTTTTGACATCTTATTTCTGCCACTTGTTTAAAAGTAATCCCCATTAAGCGATTCGTCATAATGGTGTCACATGTGCGGTTAACAATATAATACTGCTTCTTTTGCAGGGTACAGACTTAGTTACGGGATGTTTAAGCTGATGATGTGCCGATTTGATCGACAAAAGAAGGGCGTAATATACTTTGATGACTTCGTTCATATGTGTATTGTGCTACAAGTAAGTCTTATTTTTGGTTAGGATAAGATTCCGTGTTGGAAAGATCCACTTGCTTGTAACTTTCAGTACCGACAACTTACTTGATATTTATTATGTACTGTGAGTCAGGAATAACCAGGCAGTTGTGATCATATCCACAAATAAGCTACTAATCAGCTTAGTCAGTATCTGCACAAAAATTGCCGAGTAGGACAAAACAAAAATGAGCCCTCAAAATGCCGATTGTTGGGTCGTAGTCATCTTCACTCAGTACGTGGAACAACTGTGGACAATGCGGTCAAACGAGGCTGGCTGTCGTGTTTTAAATCCTGTTGTCAGTCTGGTAAACCAATTTCGAAATACAGGCGCGTTTTTAAGCTGTCTGTTGTTGGTTTTTCGCTTCTGTTGTTGCTGAGACCCGAAGGAGAAGCGCATAACTGCTTCGGTTTACAATAGTTGTCGATCATCTCCTTTTGACTCGCCCCATATTTGCGAATTCTGATGCTTTTTCTTAAACACGCATTACTTTAGTTGTTCGTCTTCTCCCTCCACAGAAACTCACCGAACAGTTCCGTAATTTGGACACCGATCGCGATGGCTACATCACGATAGGCTATGAAGACTTCCTCGTGCGCATCTTTACGGTGTTTACGTAAGTCCTCACAACCGGACATTGCGGTTCGCCACCAGAACTCCAGTCCAATTCATTCCGTTGCCTCGGAACCCCGCTCTACCTTATCCACGCACCCTGCGTGCTCAGTTACTTTGTATGTACATTTCTCGTTTGACCACCTACTCGATGCTTTTTACCCATATTCTGTCTCTGGTCAGTGCCTTTCGATTTACTGCAGATTTAAGATGCCTTTTTGTTTCTTACTGACGCGTCTTTCTGACACATCGCCCCCGGTCTCCTTTCCCCGGTTCAGTTGAGCCCTCCTTTAATTCAGCAAGACCAATTAGCGCTTTCAACAACTTTGGTGACGAGAGTGTAAGGAAGTCGGTTGTACGAAACGCATGTGTGTCAGTCTAGTGTTCATGTGATCATTGAAACAATCAACCGGACGTGTTAGGTCAGCGGTTGTCGACCGCGCTAGCTTGATCACCTGGGTAAGTGGAAATAAGATCTCACAAACTACCGAAATCGGTGGTTTCAAGAATTGGCAATGAATTTTATGTGCGTAGTTGAGCAACTTAGCTAACAAATCTGGACAAAAAAGTGTCCATCGTGTCGGCGTTGGTTGGTTTGTGGACTACTTAGTTAAATGACTCAACTGTGTTGTATTTGTGAGCAAACATCGAACGACCAGCGAGGCTTTTTTAAATGTAAATAGATTCGAGTGTTTTGGGTTTGGATGCGTGGAGAAAAAAAACGTGAATTTCCGCTGAATCACTTTCCCCAAGCCAAAGTGCTAACGCGATGAGTACGTCAAGCGTGAATTGCTAGGCTAATCTTACGTCATCGTGTAAGTGCGTCGAGTGTTCTGTCATGGTAGCCATCACGTCTGAGGGCCCAGTGGCGCAGATACGAATCTCGTAACCTGTCAAATTGGTTGTAGCATTGTGCATGGAAGCGTCAAGTGACACCGGATCACACAACCACCAGGGTTAGTGCGTTGTGACGAGTTATGCTACCAAAAGTGCAGATTTCCAGGCAAACCTCAACTACCAGCTGTGTTCGCGGCCTGCATCGTTAAATTGGTCAGAATTGTTTGGTGCCAACTCGTGTAACCGACCGTTGCGGTCTTCAGAAAGGGGGTGTCACGTGGCGCGCCCGCCCACTCACCCTGTGATCTGTACGGCATGAAAATTGAATTCACAATCCGTCACATGTCGCACTTTCGCGTGAGTGGAATTTGTGCACAAACCGGAAAAAGTTCAAAACTTCGTCATACACCAAATCTCCAAACTGATAAATCATTTTGAAATGCGCTTAGAGGCTGGAAAATTTGTGCTCTCAATGGTATTCACATATAATCAGAAAAAATGATGAATTAGGAGCACAAAATCGTAAAAAATACAGTGGAATTGGGAATTGAAATCTCGTGGGAGTTTCGGGTACAAACCAAGAAGGGTGCTGCCGGGTCATGTTGATATTTGTTTGGTAATTAGTGGAAAAGCATCCACATGGTAAAACCATAAGTCAATCCAGACAAAAAATGGAAAGATTTGACAAAAGAATTAAAAAAAGAGACGTTGGTTGCACATTGTCGCGTCGGTTTTGTCGTTATTGCAACATATGGCGGTGACTTGGCGCAACCTAAAATCTGGTTGGTTACTAGAGCGCGTGTTTTCTGAGCAGATGTGTTAAAAGTGTGGCGACAGTTCAACATCCAACAGTGAAAACCAATCAGATTCTCGCGGGGTTGGTGTGGGAGCCACATGCACATTTTGTTCAAGACAATGTCGACCTGAATAAGCTTGCGCATTCCTGAAACTTGTACCATCTTCCAGCATTTCTGGTAATTAGATCTGACCTTGTTGCGCTAGCTAGACCATAAATTACGCTAAAAAATGCCCACGCATTTTAACAAACAGAGACTTGCTAATTTAATGTGTTTCCCTCTGAAATGACTGAAAAATAGCCACGCATTGCAAGTATTAAAACTGAAAGCTGGGGAAACTTTTCTTAGATAACAGCGTTGCTTCTGCTCAAATCACCGAAATGTGCCAAAACCTTACGTAACCGCGCAGGTTTCCGCTTGACATTAATTTGCATACCTCTATACGCCATGATTTGGTGTGCTGTTTAAAGAAATTAACACACATGCCTTGTCATTGGTCATCTTTTTTTAGAATGTGACCGTGGAGTTGGTGGAGTTCTTGTGTTTACATGTATTTGGTCACGTTATACAGGCATTTGGGAACTGCGTTTGATGTAGTTTAGTTTGACAAAATTAGATGTTGAAGTAAAAACTGATTTCACGAAGGTTCGCTCAAATCCTACATAATATTTTTAAACATGTCCTCAAGTTCACATAGATTTGTGCCACAATCAATCTCAAATTTGTCTGAAGCAAGATGGTCAGAAATAATCAAAGCATCAGACAGACTTTAAATTTGGCGCTTCACGGTGTTTTAAATTGCCTGATTAAGGATTTTAAATTTCCAAATTTCATCTGAACTCAGCTGAGTGCCACGCGCAGTTTCGGCGCAAAATCAATACTTTATCGATCAGCTCCCAGTCCATCTACGCTGTGTGCGCATCTTCAACACATTTTCGGTTCGGCGGTCGAACCAATGCATTGCTTAGAAAAGCCGTGGTTACGTCAAATGTGGCTGATTCTATTGGTCAAATATCATCCGGTTGCAGTAATTGGGTGGCAGAAACGAGGGATTCTGTTTAGCCCCTTTCAGGGTGGCCTGATAGATGGCATCTGCAGTTAGAGGCATCCGAGCGGCGTAAGGCGTTCTACTTTGAAATCTCGTGTCACATCTGAAGAGATCGCCTCCTTAAACTGATCGAATCACAATTCCCGTTGCTCGCGTCGCTCTGCTGTATGCGTTCTTGACGAATTCTCGACTCGCGACTGTGCGAATCCATGTTAAAAACCAAACAGCACACTTTCGACACACTCTGCCACTTGATGGCATTCAGCTCGGTCTAGTGGTCAAAGTGACGTGCAGAAAATCGATAAATAGGGACAGCCAATCAAACTGATTGTCGCTAAGGCATAAACGTGTTTTGGCTCAAGTGCTCATTCCAGGTGATTTACTGGGTTGGATTTCACGCTGGAAAAATCACGCATTGTGATAATGAATCCTCGATTTCTAAATCATCGGATGAGAAGCCGGACTGACCATTTAAACAACACGCAACACAAAGAACGCTCTCGCAGCGATACACCCTCTAACCACCTCTCAGTGCTCACGATTTTCCCACACATGGCGTGCCTCACGAATGTCGCTTATTGGTCGAGAATGCGCCAATGAACGTCGGCCATCCTGCACCGCTTCGATTACAGGACGAAAATGAAAGAATTAGTTTTAAAACCTCAAAAGAATCAATAATTATGAATCGGCAAGGATGTATTTGCACAGCCATGAAACACTCTCAGATGGTTGGATGGCTTTGCGACCGAATTCAACTGGTAATCAGGAGCACGAGTAGGTGGCCATGCGTTCACCATGAATAGTTGTGGAATGAGAGAATGCTTCAGAGACGCTTGGTTAAAATAAGCATGCCTACAAGCAGTGCACGACAGTAAAATCGATTTAACGTAACCAGGGAGCGGAAAGTCAATATTTCCTCGATCGCCTCTAAATTGATCTACGCATCCAATCGTTAATTTTGCACAGCTACGTGTACATCAAAGTAGACATGTTTTAGCAAGTCATCAATCCATATTATTGGATTATCGAGATAGGTAAAGACAACAGTTGCTTGTTCTGCGGTTACTGGCGTTACCCGTATAAGGAATGTAACATCACCGATTATACAGAGAAGGTAAAACAAGATCTGCCGAAATTATTTAATCTGATTATCGCTAGAGGCTGACTTCAAGAATTGAAGAGGAATCGCATTGTGGTTCTCGACTTCGATACTCGGAATCAAAACCAATCAGTCTGGTGATTTTCTACTCTCAGCTGCGTAACGCTACTGACAACTTATCAGTAGCAATGCATTTCTGCCACGTGGTCAGCCCTACACTCGCTTCTTATTGGTCGAGAATACTCAACTGAAGATCGGCCGCCGTGGGAGAAACCCGTGGTCGCCAAATCGAAACTCAAGGCGTTATTTTAAACCGAAGTACAAAAAAATTGCTTTTGTGTCAGGGAGGACACATTGGCACAGCTGTGCCACTCTCTGATGATTCTGCACAACATTTCATTGTCGGACCAAGAGGGTCACTTGGCACATTCAGTGTTGACTTCGTGCATTATCCTCGACAACATCTGCTACCTACGTGATCTCGTGTCGACCGCCTACGGGTGAGAATTTTGCAAAACAATTGTCACGCATTGAGGCCAAACATGCGATTGCTTGTTTTCTAAGCTCCTGACTCCGCGTTGGCACGAAATTGTGTCGAATAACATGCACACACACACACACACACACACACACACTATGACACCCAGGAACACTCATCAACTGTGTAAATTTGAAGATGACGCCGATGCTGCCAATAAACAATCAAAAACATCACCATGCCAAAGACTGCACCACAATGTCGCCCGATGTGACGTCGTCAATTCCAGCTCAGTTGTCAAACAAACCAATCAGAATCATTCGGCTGTCCATCAACGCCTCACCAATCACTTAGACTCATCTGCCTGCCCACCACATCGCTGAGTTGCACGCGATGTGAGCCAGTCGTCATCTCTTCACCACGCGAACCTCGACAGCACCGTGAAGTCACGCACTGATGTGCCATCTGCGTCATCCAGTGTGCCTACTTGTGCCTTCGCGTGACGAGGCACCGCCGAACTCACTGGGCGAATGACCAGGCGGTTGTCGCGCGAGTCCCGACTGACGTCATCAGCCTACACCCCACCACATCGGTGTACACTGTCCACGAGATGCGTCGTGCGTAGAAGTCGTTGAAGTGTTGGCAATCACAAGAACTCGTTCCAAGCGACCTAATGACAACGAGCGAACAAAGACGCTGGCTTAACGCCTCCCAAGTGACATTGTGGACACACACACTAGCTAGCATCGGTGGAGAAGGCTGGTGAATTCATCGCAAGTACCGTTTGTCCGTTCCAACACATCCGTCGACTCATCCAAAAGGCGTCTGTGGAGAACTGACCTCCGTGGATCACCTGGTCTCTGGCTGCGCACAGTTTAGTACACGCAGGCACCACGATTCGCGTGATGGCAGCTCCTCACACAGATCTCATCAACTACCATGCATTTCAATCATCGCAAACAATTTCCATGCTGGCTGATCTCAACGATCACTCAGCTGGATCAGTTCATGAAGTGGACGCATTCAGGGTGCCATCGATCGAGCGTGCAACATCCCACCAACTTGCGATTTTGGTAGTTGGCAACAAACACTTCCGTTTGCCTCTCGAATGCCATTCCAGAAGTCAATTCCAACCTAGTGGGCACACAATGGAACTCAAAAATCGTATGCAGCAACATCACGCAGCATCGTGGATAAGCATAAATGTTGTGAAACTTCAGAACTACGAAATTCCGCGCATGTTCGACATCTCTCACAGGCCCTCTGCTGATGGACATTGCCGCCTTGAACGCACAGTGAGGCCTCGTGAGTGACTGCTTCGAGTTGGGCCACAAATGACGCGCTTGTATTGGTCAGGGTGTTGCAAACCTGCTCGACCAATCACCAACCACGTCTGACTCCCTAAGACATCCCTGTGAGGTCAACCAAGGTGATTTGGAGGCGCCGACCAATCAGCCTGCGGTTGTCGCGTTCACAGTCAGTGCCGCGGGATCGCGATGCATTGCACTCAACACGACCTGAGTTGACACAATGCCGTCCACATCGCCACCGAGTGAGTTGGCTCCTGCAAGGATGGACGCTTCCGTTGAAGGTCCACTACAGTTCACACCAGGTCTTGAGGGACAATCCTTAACGAGGACACACAGTGATCGGAACACCGATGAAGTGACCAGGTAATCTGATTGGTTGATTGCGGGGTCGGAGTGGTCTCTTCTCTTCTTAGCCTACAATCCGATTCAAAATGCACACAACATTCGATGCTACTGTAGCGCCGGATAAGGGCGCAGGCATATTAAACCTCTCTGGCCTCAGCCAATTCTCTGTCTCTGCGTTCCGATGGCATGCGAGGAAGGTAGGCAGCCAACCAGAGACAGACACGAGAATGAAGTGCAGTATATAATGGGCTGCGTGGCTAGCGTGGTGGACTCGGATGGACGGCGCCTGACGTGTGGTTCTAGCTTGTGATTGGTCAATAAAACCTGTTCTGTTGCAGCAGTCGTATTCTTATTAGGGCTAGATTATCCTACACTGCAACACCACTACTGTATGTGTGTGTGTATGCGTCTTGAGCAGGTGATAATCCATTGGCAAAGCCGAGTTATTGCAAAGCCCTGCTTGTGGTTTAAGTCAACCAATTCACACCGCGCTTACACCTGGTGTAGACGAGTTAGAACAGCACTCGTCGTCGCTTGCTTTTGCAAACTCGTAAAAAACAGGCTCTCAGTGCAAGTATTTTTTGTTTGTTTTAAAATTGTTGTGCTTTTTTACACGCACCCACTCAAACGCATGCATATGAAATCGAGTCGGTTCACAAGTTGACTATTTTAAGGCGCGTTTCGTAGTAGTTGTCGCGACTTGGCCCTCGTCTGTGAAGTGTCGTGTCGCAACGACACCAGGATTTGGTTGCAGACTCTCCGCTACACGTCCCCGACTGTGTAACCCAAATCTGCGTGGATAAGCCTGTAAAGTTTCTTACAAAAATGCGACCGTTACCTCCTTATTCACCAGGTATTCCTGCCGCGGCGAATTCATCACTAGGTCCAGCGTATCGTCGTCGGTGGAGGTGCTATCCACCGTGCTCTCTGGCGATCGCTGGCGACGAAAGTCGTTATCGCGCTTTGCAACCGACGAACGATTCAAACGTGGGTAAAATTCACCCTGAAATGATTGTCTTCTCTACAAGGCTGTCGATTGTCTAAGGACTCGTCACTTACCCTTCTTTGATCCTCGTCTGGACTAGAATGAGCCTGTTTCGAAGGCTTCTGCTTCGACTGGCGTGGCTGCTCCATGGGTGGCGTGGTGATGGGACTTTCTCGAAATCGCCACTTCGTTTGACTCCTTCCCGACGCTTCAGGCCTCTCAAGTGGTAGTTCGCTGTGATCACGTGACCTGTTCGTGTAACGAATCCGCACACGTCGTGTCTTCTTCGTCTTCGCAGGGGCCTTGCGCTGAGGTGGGCACTGCTCCAGCGACCTTCGTCTGTTCTCTCTACCAAGAGCCTCCTTCTGTTGTGGTGGCATTTCGAAATCCGACCTTGGGACACGTGGTTTTGGCGACGTCGCCCGACGTCCGTGTTGCCACCTTTCTTCTGCTCCAGCGTAGTCTCTTGGTGGGAGAAGCAGGCGATCTCGAGAATTTGACTGGCGTCTGCTGGCAGTCCACGAAGGGTCTGGTGGTTCAGGAGACCTGTGCTTAAGAGAAGGCGACGTGGAGCATCGAGCCACCAGGCTTTGCTTCTCTCGAGAATGGACGCGATCAGGGCGAGCGCGTCTCCTTTCTGGCAGCCGATATCGGTACAGATTTTTAGTCCCATTCTCGTCTCGACAAACCTTGTCAAAGGCATTGTCGTTTGGCTTCATGCCATCTTCAGAGGTGTGCAAATCTGACTTCAAGGAGTAGCGCTTCGAAGACTTTTGGGCCACTTGTGAGTTCTGTCGATCAGCGTAGTGGGTGGAGCGTGGCGGTTGGGCTAAATTTCGGTCTTCGTCAGAGAAGTACTCGTCGTCGTCGTCCGTTGAAACTGCCCTGCGTGGAGTGTTCTTTGATATCGCGAATGAAATCTCATCGGCGAATCGAGACCAACGCACGTGCTTATTCATTCCAGTCGAAAGCACTGAGTCGTGTAATCCTTCTCACCTCCACTACACACTGGCAACTCTGAACCAATCGCCTCCCGATTATGGCGCTTCTCGCAACGGGAAATTAATTGGATTACGCGTTTTACTGCTGAGCTAAAACGGCACAGGAGTTACACGCACCCCCCACTTCTGCTCATCGATTTCTTGTTAATTACGCATCTGAAATTATCGCGAATACAGATAAAAGCATTTAATTAACAGCGTCTTACACACACACACATAGACGCGCATTATTGACAAGTTGACTCAACGCAAGGCACAAATTCTGTGCAATGTAATGATTTTGGCAAGAATTTCGATTTCTAATATTGGGATACGTAAATAAGTGTGGTTCGATTTGCTAAAAATATATAAGATCAATTATGTTTAATTACGACACCCTTGGTTACCACAGTTTTGGATCAAATAAATGTGTGGAAATTAAAAACAGGCTAAGACAGGATATAATTTGGGTTTTGACAGTACAATTGGCCAGATCTCGTGTAAGATATATCGATTTTTTTAAACAGCACACACTTGTGAGCGACTGGATTGGTCACTGTGTCTAGTTTTGAAGAGGTCGCGATGTGAATTGGTTGAATTAAAACACAAGCAGAGCATTGCAATGACTCGTTCTTGCCAACGGATAATCATCATCTACCCAACTGGCAAAATGACGCGCGGAGACGCGCGCGCACATACACACGCACGCACATAGTGGCGGTGTTGCAGCATCGAATGTTGTGTGTATTTTGAATCGGATTGTAGGCTAAGATGAGAAGAGACCACTCCGACCCCGCAATCAACCAATCAGATTACCTGGTCACTTCATCGGTGTTCCGATCACTGTGTGTCC